ACTCCCCCTTGAATCCTCTTAATTCCATCCAATTCAACAATATCGAGTCATCATTCTTAATATCAAAGAAAGCTTGAAGAGGAGAGATGAAGTTGGTGGGGGATGTCAGTGACCGGGACGTGCGGGGATTAAAAAGGAACCTTGGAAGAAGCAAAAAGGAAAAAAGATGGATTTGGCTATAAAAGTGACAATTTACGGATTAAAAATGTGACGACTTATTTCATTCGCTTTAATTATTCCTATAATTTTCTTTTAGTGCCTCCAGACTAGAAGCTAAAGCGTGATCTGCAACCGGTTCATGTATCTAATGCGATATGTACTCCGTACAACGTGGTATTCTGAGCTTCAAAAGAGTAGGGCATGGAAATACGGAATATGAAATTGTGGATATAGTATGGGCTGATGTAGAAGATCTTTCCTCTATATCAAAACTTATTTCATTGGAGCCACATATGGGCCTTGGTATACAAAGTAGGTGTTAAGTTACACTGCCAACATCACTATCCTAGCCCCCCTATTCAACGAAGATCAGGAACATCTAATAAAACTCTATTGCTATTCAATTTGACCAAGACAACAGGGCTGAACGTCGTATACTAATGCACCGGTTTCATATTCGGCGCACGCACCTTGCAAATCACAACGCCATATGATCTCCAGCGAGTCCACCAGAGAACCACTTTTTTCTGCCTGCTGATCTCACTAACAGTCAGTGCTCCCCCTTGGAACCTTGTTGCTCTCTAAATGATACTAAATCGGGCATAGTGGCAAAAGATTTAGTGGGGACTTTAACTTCTACCAGGATCTATGGCGGACTTACTCCGTATAACAACCTGGCAGAGATATTATTTAGATCAGCCTAGACCAGGCTTGATGCATGAGATACCGTTGTAGGGACGTTGCGAGACAAAAAGAAACCCCCAAAACCCCCCCAAAAAACCCCTTCGGAGCCTCAGGGCCGCCAGGTGGTGGTCCACTAGCGTTGTCTTAGCCCTTATATCTCACCCACATGGAGATGAAATGCTCGTGCACTGCCCAGACATTTAATTATGGGTTAAATGTGGCCAGAGCTTTGGGACCTTGAAATATGCTTCGGGATTATCATTTAGGTAGGTACTGTGTATCATTTTCGTTTGATAGAGTTGCAATCTACATGCAACCCCCTTACCCCTATATTTCGATATTTGCTCTGGTGCTGTAAGTCAAATTGGGGATGATACAGCTCTTGGACGAAGCTTCTAACCAAATGGAGATACTCGAGTCGGTATTGAAGTCGGTCCAACGCTTTAAGTGTCTTCGATCTACCAGGCCCACCTTCTCTGTCAACCTATTGTCGATCAGGCACGGTGCTACTACAAGTTAGTACAGCTGCATTTTACAACGGCGGGACTCCGGAGTACTTTTTGACCAGAGAAAAGACAGAAAGGAAAAGAAAACGGAACTAAAATGTCCCCCCACATTTAAAGAGAGACTATTGTTTCTCCGATTCTCGAATGAGGACCTGATTCCCACACTATAGCCGCCTCCACTTGGAACAGATCTCCATCAGCAGAACATTTTCGGCATTCCTTTTTATCTACGGAGTACGCACTCGAAGGATTTTAGAATTGCCGAATCTAGCTTTTTATTTAATTGCGGGACTCCCGGCTCGAAGATTAAATGGAGTACGGAGTACTTCGTACAGTCACAGATAGCTTAACAACGGATAATCGCCCTTGTTACTCCATAGTTTTGTTTTGGATCCACCAGTCCCCAGTCGATATGAAGAGACAAAAGGAAAAGGCGAAAACGAAAAAGAAAAAGGCAAGACAATATGGAGTACGGAGTCTCCGTACACAAAATGCCTCGGGGAAACCGGGACAGATCCATAGACGCTATGATCATGATCCTCTGCATAGTAGGCCTGGCCAAGCCCTAAGACCACTCGGATTCATCCCTGTGGCTGGGGATCGTCATTATCACCCCCTTTTTGTTCTTTTTTCCCTTTTTTTTTGATATGCCGAGATCAAAGTTCGTTCTTAGAGGTCTCCTTTGGTATTGCGCATTTTCCTAAAAGGTTGTTCAAGGTTATCGTCATTGCGCGCCACGAAGAAAAGTATCTTTCTTGTAAAAATATGTCGGCCCGGAAGTTTACAAGCTAAGCCCTCTATTATTGGTTACCATGGCGGGTTAAAGGTATTATAAAGCAGTGTGGTGATTTTTTTATCATAGTCATGGATCTATACTCCGTACTATCGTAATAGGTGGATATAAAGTGGTTGGTCCTATTCTCGGCAGTCGGAGCTTACTACCCCGATTTTCAAAATAGTATCAAGTAATGATCATCCTATAACCTCGGATGTCTGTCTTCACTGTACAAAATGGGGGTATAGTTATTATTGTCTATGTTGTATCAAGCGCAAGAAACAAGCAAAGCATAACCACTATCAGAGTCCCCAAACCTTGACCATGGCAGATCCCAGTCCGCGCTCGAAATGGATATGCTATTCGCCGATCTCAAATGTCCGGACAGCTTGAGTTAACGCCGGTGTGAATTTGGGGCCAAAAGTAACCCACATCGTTGTAATCCACCATCAAGCCAACATCCGGCGGAATTGGGAACGGTGGAGCCATCAGACAACCAAGACGTTAGGAATTGACTTTGATCTATCACGTTGGCGCCACGATCATAGGTCCAACGGCCACCTTAGCGCTGCAACGCTCTGATTGCCCACTTTTTTGTCTTGGTTGCACTGCATGGACCACGCCTACCCTCTTTTGCTATGCTTTTCCCGCGTGAGCTGCGTTTACGATCTGTCCTACGTTGCAGATAAGGCGGGGTCATAACACATCCCCGAATGATGACCCGGGATGCGCAGGCGGGAGACATAGTTCAAATGCGGTTCGCAAGCCTGACTTTGAATGGACTACTCCGTAGGCTAGCCAGGCATAAACTTCCCAAAGGTGGTATAGTTCCCTATTGGAGGGGCTAGTATGCAGCTAAATCCGCCGTGCAGGACTGGCGTGTGATGAGAATTCGACCGGTGAAATGGTTGCATTGCACATCCCTGTTGATTATCAAGGAACTTTGCTTGAGGCGCCGTTTGATTTATGATTCTCCATTTTTCATTTCCACTATCATGACTCCGTGCTTCCGTACCATGAGACAGGTATGATTGTCCACGTGGGTACGAAGTATGTCTGATCGGTAGTCTCGGCACGTTCTTGGCTTTCCTCCAGTTGGTAGTGGATGTCTTGGTCTTGTCTTAATCCACGCCGCGGCTTTGATCTCCAAATTGGCACCCCAGAACACGTGAAATATACACCTTGCAATATGATCATATATGTGTCTTTTTGTTTTTCTGCAATCATACAAGATATACAGTCATAAATCGTCAACAGCCCCGAAGATGGCATCATGCGGGACTTGTAGTCCTGGGTCGATCATTGGTCAAACAAACCGCAGGTCGAGAAGCGCGGCGTCCCTTCGTACACCATGTGAAGTAATAATGTCACCCAAGACAAATGGGTAACTATTCATGCACTTGAGCCTTTTTCTTTCTGGGCCATCAATTCCTTCACCACTTTATCCACTCCTTCAACAACGACTCCCCACTCAGTCTCATGGACCCGAGTTTCAAAGGTCTCGAGGTTCTCATCCTGGCCCTTCCGGAAGGGGATCTCCCGCACTAGAATTGGTGTGCCCATATCCACCTCGGAAATGACATCGTGCATCATAACACCGGTCTTGTCAATCTGGCCCGCCAGCCACGCAGCATGAGCACGGCCAATCGCATTCTAAAGATCAAAAAAGACAGGTATCAGCATATCATTCCAGCTAACAATGTACAATCTCAAAAAGATGAGCTCTAGGACTTACAACGCCATTGAACGCCCCGGGCAGCGCGGGGTGCAAGTTAATAATCCTTATCTTAGCAGCCTCCAGAGGCTCCAAGAACTGCGGTGAGAGAATGTGCATGAAGCCGAGGCACACGACCAGCTCCGGCGCGTCGACAAGGATCAGCCGAGCGAGCTCGGCATCGTATTCCTCGCGCGCAAGCTGAACACCTTCCGGTGTCGCGGGGTGCTGCTTCTTGTACTTGACCAGGTTGTGGTATTCGGTTGGGATATTGGCCTTGGTTGCGCGTTCGAGGCCAAATGCGGTCTTGCGGTTGGAGATTACGCGGACGATTGTTGCGTTTATCTGACCTGCGGCCACTTTATCCATCACGGCTTGTAGGTTTGAGCCATTGCCAGATATGAGGACTGTGACACGAATCGGGGAGGTCATGGTGGGTTGTAGCGGGGGTTGTCGTGAAATTGCGGACTCCGGAGGTTGAAAGGGTAGACTACACGGCCGAACCGTTTTTTGGATGCGGTGAGGTCAATTGAGTACTGCCTTTGTTAGAGAGACTGCAGATTCTACTCTCAAAGCTTAGGGAATGAACGAAATAGCACAAGATCGCTGGCGCAATCCAGGCCGCAATGGAGTTGGGTGATTTTTTTTGGATTACCTAAGTCAGCCGCGGGGCAGCGGGCCCCGGTATACTACCACGTATATATACAGGGAACATCAATGGCAATAATATGATAGATGGTTGTATAGCCTTATTGTTTGTACATGTATTTCAATAAGTAGAACATTTCCTAGCCAGATAGAGCCATGGGTATGGCCAGCCAATGTGTCAATTTACGATATTACAAAGAACAAACGAAGACCAACAATTGATAGACGTAAAGACTAACATTTTCGAGGCTCGAAGTCAGAGTTATCTTCCAAGAGGAGGGTTCCTTGTTTCTAGGCGCCGAGACCAAATATTCGATAACCCAACATGATAAAAGCACCAAAAGTCGATGCACAGAAATGAGATGCAAAGGGGATATCCATGGAGAAAAAAAAATCGTTACAGGTTCTAAACACACGCTGCATGCTAAAGCTAAAAGGAGAGAAGAATTTCGAAAGCCAAAAGTTGGGAGTTGCTCACATAGTTGGTTTGACCATGCTTGCTAGGTGGAAGAGATCAGACAGCTGTGCCATCTGGAGCCGGGGCAGGGGCAGGACTGGGTACCGGGTTGTCGGTATTGGAGTCGTTGCTGGGGGTTTCGTTGACGCCTTGACCTCGGCAGAGAGGACAAGAGTTTCTCCCAGTGGTTAACCACTACGACATACGGTCAGCAAGCGAACAGATTGAAATCGAATGGACAGAGGCAACAAACCTGGTCTATGCAATCCTTGTGGAAGACATGTTTGCATTTATTCAGCTCTCGAACTTCCTCCGCCACCTCATAATCACTCAAGCATATCAAACAGCGCTCCCCCTCTTGGATTTGAATGGAGGCAGCGCCTTCGACGGCTTCGGCGACCAATGAACCTGCATACTCAACAAGATGGAATATTCCGCCGGCGGAGTTGATATCGGTCTGAGAGGCAACAGGGGGCTTAGCTGGACCTAATAGTGATGAAAGTAGGATCATATCCTCGTAGGTTGGGTTCTGTTTAAAGTATTAGCCATCATGTTCCTGACAAAACCAAGTAGTAGGGCATTCTTACATCGGTGAAAAGACTTGGTGTGGTCAAAGCCGGGTGGTTTTCAGAAAGGTTGGTTCCAACAACATAAATTAACCAACTGCGACCTCCACTTGGTGGGGGTTGATCGGGTTCAACCATGCCATTGCGTCGAACAGCACCAGAGCCGAGGGCCCGATGACGAGCATACTCAGAATCGCTTCGACGTCGCTGGCGAGCGGTATTGAATGTCATAGGCTCATCCAGAGTCTCCGCCGTCGGTCGCATTGCCTGGCCTTCATGTAGATGGGGCAGAATATCAGGAGCAATTGCTGAAGCGGAGGATGGTCTACGGCTCGGAGTCGAAGTGCCGGAGGGCAAAGCAGATATCCCCTGTTCGGCTGGTGTTGACGGAGGCGGGTGCGGGCCCGGGGGACTTTCGGAGAAACCAGACGGATGATAGGATGGGAATGCAGCACGGGGGCCGGTATCAGACATTCTTCTAAAGTGATTGGGAACTGACGGGGGTGGAAGTTCTGTAGCTCCGGTGGGGTTCCGAGGAAGAGTCAATCTAGATCGCCCATCGCTCCGTTGGGTAGGTTCACCAGTGGCATCTTGAGGCCGTGGGATAGTATTATGTGGCAAAAATGGCAGACCGAGCAGAGCATCTAGACCTGGGCCCGGACTTACGGGCTGTTGCTGTTCGGTATGACCTGCGTTTCCAGCCAGGACGGATCGAACTCCAACGACAACCAGTGTAACCGTTCGCCCTGCGCCTTCAGCAGGCTCGTCGATGTCCATTCCATCGGTTTGGGTCCCACGGTCGCCAACACCACTCGCGCTCTGCCTTGCAGCGCCGCCTGTGGATGGTTCTGAATTGGCAAATCGGAACACACGCAAGAAATTGACGGGATGCGAGGGTCCTTCGTTTGCAGTACTGCTCGACCCGTCTGCTGCAGGCGGTTGAGCCTGCGCAGAAGTTGCGTGCTGCAAACTCTGGATGAAATTCTCCAAAGAGCCATCTAAGCCGTCATTGCCCAATGCCTGGATGTTAGGCAACGCAGGACCGGCAGTGCCGGATAGCTGAGCTGCAATTGCGGATGCGGCGAGCTGAAGTACCCTTGACAGTGGTGTTTGCTCCTCTCGTCGCAGGACTCTGGATGATCTTGCTCGGATGATCCCAGGCAATCGGCGCATCAAAGCAGGACTCGCCTGCGCAGAAGACGAATCAGTTACCGGCCTCTCAGCCTGGATTGCTGGTTCTAGTGAATCAACTTCATGAGGGGGTTCGCCGAAGTCCAGACGCGTGTCCATAGCCCTATCATCAAATAAAGGATCTGACATTGGGTATTCCGGGCTTTCGTGCGGCCGCGAATCTGAGTGTGGCTGGCCGAACATGTGAGAAATGGGAGATGAAATCGAATGACGCATGCGTTGTAGCCTGACACTGCGACGCCAGGATGCTCTTGTCGGGTCAGGTATTTGAGATGGAGAGTCGATGTATGTCGGGGTTGCTGGTGCATCTGGGATCCCAGCAGACTCCGGGCGGGGTGGAATGAAATATGGCGCGCGAGCAGATCGGCGCCGAGTTATTCCTCTGGAGCCGAATGAATCGAACGCACTGAACCGACCGGATGTTTGAGCAGTCTCGGTTCTTGGAGAGACTAGGCCATGCCGATGTGCATGTCCCTCGGCCGGGGTCTCTTCTTGACTGTTGAGAAGTCCACGAATGACAGAATTTGGAAGAAGCCTAGAGCCCAGCCTTGACATGGTCGATTGTCTTCGTGCTGCCATTCGAGCAAACGCTGCAGTGCGGTATTCGCGGGGTGGGAGCTCATATTCGGGCCCGCCCTCCTCTTCGATACTTCGCATAGGTTGTGAGCCCCCAGCGGAGGTTCGGCCTGGCCGGTCGGATGCCATATCTTGGTCACTCCTATTATGTATGTCCATGTCTGGCCGGGGTGGCAAACCACCCTCTCCGTTGTGTTCAGCCGCCTGTCTATGATTCATGTTTTCATCCCTCGTGTTAGGGCCACGCTGTATTGAGAAAGGTGCAAAGTGTACTCGATAGCCGGTATTGGATGGATCACGTTGTGTAGAAGAGGACTGTCCCATAGTAACAGAGTTGTGACCGTTGGAGTGATGCAGTGTCAACGACTGTTCATTGCCACGCGAGGACCATATGGCTAGTAGCGGCGACCGTATCGATATTGGGTTGAACCTAGGAGAAGGATTTGACAAGTAAGGCTATCCAAGTGATGTCTGGGAATGGTGTTGATCCCTTGCTCAAGCTGACAGGGTCGATGCGGTTGGTTTTTGGGTGGTGCTTCTGAAGAAGCCGTATTTCGGACCTTTGGAACAAAGGAGTGGATAGCGGACAGGGAGTTCGCGGTTACCAGGTTATTTGCAAAAGGTACAAAACGCCTAAGACAATTTCACTGCCCAATACGAGCAACAGCGGCCAGATGTATCAAACTGTCTGATGAGTCCAGGCACAGCCCACACTCCGAGTGGTATAACCGCCGAGCCTTGAATCTCGGGGAGCTATGGTAACCACGCCCAGAAAAGAACAGCCAGCGACTGGCAAGCGCGAAACGGGGGTGAGAGAGCGCTCGGCAAAACAAAAAGGGGGAACTAGAAGAAAAGGGAAAGGAAAAGGAGGAGTAGAGGAGTCATGTCAAAGCAAGCAATTGATAGAGGGCGATAAGTGATGATGTTTGCCTGCTTTGTTTCGCCTGGAGTGCCTGAGGCAACACCTCTCCATTCCGTCATGTTCCACCACCAATCTCTCTGACAAATGCGCAACCATCAATTGGGGCAACCATAGCCTAGGCCCTAGTATAGACTGCTACGGCTCTTATTTTCTTTGGCGGCACATGGAATACGCCCCATCTTGAGCATATGGCTGCGCTGTCGTCTTCGGTTTTTTCTCTACCGCTACCGCCTTGGCTCCAGCCGCCTGGCACTCGCGTATCTCGATATGACCGCCGGAAACGCAAAAGGAGTGTGGGGTGGAGTGAAAGCGAGCTGAACGGCGAAGAAACAACGGATATCGCCTCGGCTACGGAATCTGAGCCCGCTGGGCCTCCCTTGGTCTTGACGCCAAATGAATCCCATCAATACCGAATTGCCGGTTTCCCATCCAACCAAGAATTGCCGAAAGGCCATTTCCCTCATAAGGCAGATCATGATGAGCAATCTAGAAGAGAGACTGCCTCACGCCACCTCAAAGACTTAGCGGGATTATCACCTCCAATCTACCCTCCTCAGTCGACCCAGCAAGGCAACCTTCGCTTCCAACATCTAAGTGCCTTGACAGCCATTTTACATCGATGTATGCTCCAAGGTGATTACGTTCGAGCCGGACGAGCTTGGGGCATGATCTTGCGCGAAGATTATAGAGGCTTTCGAATGGACGTCCGCAATGAAGGAAGGTGGGGCATTGGCGCTGAAATCTTGCTACGGCGTGACGAACAGGAAATCCCAGCCAATCTTGGTACCATTAAGGTGCCGAATGCGATGGACAGCACACCCATCAATTTTACCACCAAGGGCTTTGCGGCAGCTAAAGAATATTATGAACGACTTATTCTCAATCATCCATTCATGAAATCTTCACCACAGTCTATCTCCTCTTTGCACTTCTACCCTGCAATGTTTGGGCTTTGGGTGTATATCACACAGGAAGAAAGCAAGGCAACTAGGAAAAATATTACCCTTCGCCAAGAAGAAGAGCCTGATGAGTTTTCTGAGGATGACAATTCAGAATCTGAATTTGGCCACACTAGGAAGTTACAAAACAAGACAGATGCTGCCATCACAGCAATTAGGGCACTGGAGTTGGCACAGGCGCAGCAAATTGCTGCGCGTATGGACCAGCTCCTAGGGTCTCCTCCATACTCGGACTCGCCAGAATTGCTGGAGCTCAGGGGCATGATCTGTTTGTGGATCGGTGATCTGTTGCTGCTCACTCTACCATTACCGGCCCACTTCGAAGACTACGACGACCACGACCCAATGCTCATGGATGGGACCCCAGGCTCCCTTGAAGCGAGACGTGAGCACAGGCTTGCAACCGAAAAGAAAGCAGCTGAAGTCCAAAGATCGATTGAGCTCTTCGAGAAGGCCAAGAAACGAGGCAGGGGTGTCGCATACAATCTGGAGAGTCTTCATATTGATGATGATTCTGCTGATTGAGGTCCTGGTTGAGATGATCTTGATGTTCCTCTCCTCTGGAACTTCTCATGTAAAATTATATCTAATATACCCCAATGAAATGCATTTATTTATAGGTAAACATCATCTTATAATTAGAAACCTCCCTTGCCCAGTATCCTAGAGGAAGATTTACACCTTTATGTGGCGTTAGTTGGCCATGGTGTTCACAATTTAGTCAAGCACATTAGCTAAATGTTGTTCGGGATTTATACCCGGAGGTTACCGCCGCTGTAAGGTTCCATACAGCCGTGGCGGCCCTAATTGCTGTAGATGAAGCTTAAAGATGGTTGAAATGATCGACACGTGACTACGCGGCGATATCGCGTTTGCCCAACAACCTTACGGTGGACCCCGTCGTCTTTCAGCGTCATCGAAAAAGACCACATTTATTCATTACCCGACAATAGCTAGCTTCAAAAAGTACTATGGGGGTTGGCGATTATGTCCACTCCAAAGAAGGTGGGCAGGCTCGCGACCAAGCCACCCAGTCGCGCCAGCAACGTGCAGAACAAGCCAGAGTCGAGGTACCAGTCACCCAGCTGGTCGATCCAGGTCCTCCAGGGGCCAATGGCAAATCTGGATCTCTAGAATTCAACGGTGCATCTCAATTTCCAAATCAGTCCCGCAATCTCTCTACGCACGGGATACAGCGGGACAGGGACGTGTTCGACACAGACGTGGAAGCGATTGATGATTCAACCGTGGCAGGGACGAGTGTCTACGGATTTGATGACAACAAATCTCAGGCAGCATCAAGTACTAATGCTGCCTACACCAACCCCGATCCTCAATCGATGTATCAGCCCCGACCTTCACGGCATACTTATGGGCCTAACTGGTATGAAGGCCTTGGCGACCAAGCCATGAAGAAGGCCGGATTTGATTCAGATGACTTTGATGACTCTGAAAGCCAAATGACTTCGTCTCTTGGCGGAGATGGCGGGGATAATGAAAAGCCCGACGAAGCACACGACTGGCATGCGTCGCACAAATCGCGTATAACCGAGGAGCCATTGAGCAAGCGTCTAGAGAATTTCTGGTCCGCCAGCAGAAAGAGAACTTCTTCGCGGCAGCCTGTCACCATAGACTCTGATCCCGAGCCTCAGACTCAACCACAACCACAACCGAAGTCAAGGCCGCGGAAATTGGGTCAAATGCTTCCTCCTACTGGGCCCAGGAAGATTCTTCTCCCTCACAGCTCGTCAGCAACACCCAGGACACGTTTCAGTCCGCCAAAGCCTTCACTTCTTGAACAACTTGACCAACAACTCGATGCATCACCTACTCGCCATGACTCTCAACCTCCGCCAGATGTTGGCAGGACACTCAGCATTACATCGTTTCAAGAACTTACCGATAGTGACGGTGGAAGTGACGATGGCATGGAGCACACCATACGCGCGGATAAACGACGGGAAAGCGGCGGGGTTTCAATCAGTGCCTTCGATATGACCAGTTTAACCGACTTAGACGTCGACCACACCATGCAGGATCCGTTTTTTGTGCACGAATCGCGCAAATCGCATGAGCCATCGCGTCGCAGCCGTCGCAACACTGCCATTCATTCGAAAAAGCGATCACTTGAAGCAGACTACCCCCCAGAGGTGCTTTACCAAAAGTCTTTCTCTGAACTCCAAGCTGAGCCATTTGACAAATCGCCGACCCCTCCTCCACCTGTCATCAAATCACCTTCCTTACCGCCAAACCCACCATCTCTTGTTACAGACACTGAGGTACCCAATAATTCCGTCTCCCATCTGTTGACTCTGACGGACCAAGAACGCCAAACCTATTTGTCCCACATGACCATGGATGAATGGGAAGACTGCGGAGACCAAATGATCGACCGTTTCACCCATCTTCTTTCGGAAATGAAGAATCTACGGCGTGCCCGTCGTCGCACAGCTGCTGTGTTTGAAGCCGAAGTCAAGCGCCGCCATGACCAAGTTGAAACACAAAGTTTGGAGTTGACGAATAAATTGACTGAGATGAGAACTGGCGGTGCAGAGGTTCTGCGTGGACGCCACTCGTGATTGCGGAATAGCTCTCTTCCTCTTATCATTAACCCTTATGTTGTTTGAGATGATTTTGTTATGCCCAATTAGCCACTGCGGGACTCGATTTATTCATGTTCATATTTTTATACCCCTTTTACACCTAGAATATAAGGACCTGCGGAATTGACGCCGAAAGTTACCATTTTTGACGCCAGAAACGGCTGCCTTTCCACCCGTAACTTTGGATGTCCAGCCGTCGCTTGGCCGCCCACATCCCAGCACTGTTAGTCATCTTCCAGTCCTGGTTGGCGCTTAACTTCAACAGTTGTTTCCCTTAGGCAGAAGAGTGCCTGGTTATCTTTTTCACGGATGTCCCGGAGTGGCCGTCGTATAAGGAGCAGATCCAAACTGCCGTTCAACACGGCTTACAATGTGCTAAGACCTTAGTGAAAGAATCTGCTATTGCAAAGTTTGCTCTTCATTGGGTAGATAATGATGACACCGGTGATGGTACCGGTAATTTCCGGGATCGATTCGCTTCTATGCGAGACAGCAACGAATTCCCTGTTGGTCTACGACGAGACTCCTTTCTCTATGTGGATCAAGATGCCTTGCAATCGTGTGACGCTCCTAGACCATTCGTCTGGTTATTAGAACCTGACAATGAAAACACTGCAAAGCCACTCAAGGTGCATATCAACCACATCGCTCCGACACTTTTTGCGCGTCTCACCCAACGAGATCTTTCCCCAGAGGCAAACCGTCGGCCGTATCGCAACACATCGGAGTTGAAGATGCTTCATAAAGCAGCACGTTGGTCGAAGGATGCTTCAGGGGAGAAGGATGGGATTTGGCCTCCGCCTGTGCGCTTCACGTAAATCTCCGACTTGAACAAAGGTATTCTTTCCGGGATATTGAACGAATAAGCAAAACATGTCGCTGCACACTATCTCCGAATCTTAAAATCCTTATTCATGTTGGTCTGAAGGGTTGATTGTTGCTAAAATGATGTATGAAATGGACAATGCGTAGCCTCACTCGCCAAAGCTATGCTATCTAACTCAAGGTTTATTCGCCCAAATGAAACAGAATACCAGATATAATAACGCCATCGATCCATAATGCAAGAATACTCCATCTCCCGTTGCAATGAATGTGAAGGACAAAACAACATAATCCAACCATAGAAACATATCAAGACTTGGTACTAGGTTTGTGAAGCGCAGCAGCAAGTCGCTTATAGTCTTCCAGTAGAACAGCTACGTCCCCGATCCGGAGATCACTCGCATTCTGTGTCTCAAGGAAACGCCGAATGGGAGGATCAATTTTCGATGAAGGGTTGGGGAGCGGGCTGTTAGAACCACTATTGCCGTCTGCCGAAACAGGTGATGGCTTGAGTCTGTCCAATCCCGATGGAGATACGGACCTGCCGCTGGGAGTCTCTGGTGCGTTGCGGCCAAAGCTCTTCATCATGCCCGGGATGTGGTTCAGAGGGTTAAGCGTGCTGCCAAAGTTTCGCATTGATTCTAGCGGAGTGGGGCTTATGGGTGAACTCAATGCAAAATCTTCGCGTAGTGATGTCGTGACGGACTTTTTACCGCTTCCCTGGGTTCGAGTGCTGTCCACACTTCGGTCTCGAGGGGTAGGAGTGCTGGAGAGGTCTGTGAGTCTCGAACTACTGCGTGGGGGTGTGCTCTCATCCACGGAAACAGAATTGATTGCTGCGAGCTCCCCTTGGGTCAGGTTTTGGTTGGTAGCAGAGGCAAGCGGCAAGCTCACTAGACGGCGAGCTTCGGCCAGTGTCTTTGGCAATATTGGACCGCTACCCTCCGGGCCTGGTCCTTGGATGTTTTGCATCTCCTTCAGACGACCAAACAGAAAGTTGAAACTGCTGTCCAATGTAGCACCAATGTTCTTCAAGCTCTGGTCTGCAGTGGTGCGAACAGCATCATTTGCAGCTCCGAGGACCTTAGAAGGCGGTTGGAAAATGTTGCTGAGGCGTCGTTGCTGTGGTGTGATGGAGGGTCGAGGCCTAGGTAATGTAGAGGCGGGTTCCTTGATTTCTGGTGTTGACAATTCCGGCGATGCAGATACAGTCGTCACAGCCAAGGTTGTAGCCTCCTTGGGGGGCCGAAAAGGATCGACATGTTCTACGGATGGTGTCGTTGTTTCACCGGGGGTTTTCAGAGGGCCATCCTGCAGCTCATCGGCACGTAATGTAGAAAGATCGACGTTTTCCAAAAAGCTTATGGCGGCCTCTAGATTGGTTAAGCAGTAAGCCGTTTCTCCGTCAATTCTGCTTGAAGACCTGAAACGCTGGATAAAAACCAAGTTGCTGACAATGTTGATCCCTTCCGGAGGGCACGTCACAAGCGAATAAATTAACGTGGGCAGAATCTCATCCGCAGAAGAGGAAGACGGTAAAAGTTTAGTGAGAGCGTCGACAATGGCCTTGTGCGCCGCTGCGAGTTGCTGTAGCTTTCCAAGGGGGTATTTGTAATCGTTCATTTTGGCGAGATACTCTCGGGCCTGACAAAGGAATTCGTTTGCTTCGTCCTGCTTCTGCTCATCGATTGTTTCAAGGTCTATATCGATCCCAAGGTCCTTTAGATTAATGCCGACCAGCAGCAAAGCCGCAGTCTTGGAACGCAACTTTTCATCCCGCACATCATCCAATGTACTTTTGTGCCTCCAGAGTTTATCATAAACCAGCTCGCAGACCCTTCTTTCGGCAGCCTCTTCTAACGCACTCCTTTTGTTTTCAAGGGCTCTGCGAGCCTGTCGCTTTTCAGCCACCTCGGACGCAGTCAACATTTGGCGACCTGAAGCTGCTGGCCTGATATCGTCTTGAGAGCGTTTACTGCTCAATTTCGACAGTGCGCTTCCTCGTGGGGTTTTTGCAGGAACCTGGGGCGAAAGATCCCGGTTGATACGAGCTATGAGAGCAGATATATGTGTGGCAATGTGGGACTCGGCGCGGCTGTAGAAAACTTGGAAGAGCTCGGAGATCTTCTCGATCGTGGGAGGCGAGTTATGAACTTTGGCGCTCAGAGAATTCACGAATCTATTGGAGAAATGGCTGTCAGAATAAAACGTTGAAGCATGGGCACTCATATGATCACGCTTACCGATCTGCCAGGCTGATTAGTTCGATCGGCAATTCCTCCGAAGGGTCTTGTACGCTTCGCGAAAGCACAAAGCCATCATCTGTCTGGGCATCGCCTGTTGTGCCGGAGTCTGCGGAGCCCGGTCTTTCGAATACGTCGAGTCCATTTTCCTGCCCCTCATTATTGACAGGTGACGATGGAGGTGCTGTTTTGGAATCTTGCTCAATCGTAGGAGATTTCACTTCCGAGTCGCCCATTCTGATGAATGACCGTGCTAGATTCAGATGAGGCTGACTGCTATTTTCAGAGCCAGACATTTTAAGGTCAGGGGCGATGGGGTTCTATAAGGCACTAATTGCGTGTCTCCGCTCCCGGATGCAGCTGATAGGCCTATGTCGATCCGCGTCCGAGAGCCCCTAGCTCTGGCCTGAGCCTGTTGTCCAGAAGTAAAGCGATCGGAAGTACTCCGTACTTGTCACGGAGTATACTGCAGCTGATCAACAGCAGCGTATCACTCTCCTAGTGATCATTTGAGAAGACCAAATTGACGAGGAATACACGATATCGCATCACGTCACGGGGGTACCCATCACGTGCCGATCGCTCTCCGCACTGCGTCACTTCGTCACTTGATAAGTGACTCGCTGATAACCGCGATAGACTCACGTCTCCTTGACCTTGATCCTCATCAGCATCCCCATCATGGCTCGAAAATTTTCACGATTTGAACTCAGCATCCGCAGCCTATTATTTGCGGCTGCAGTATTGTCAGGTGCTGCCTCCGCCTCAGGCTATCATCTACCCTCTCCACAAGTTCCCGTCATACCTTTGAATGGGGCCGAGGGTACACCAGACATCCATGAGTTTGTAAGATGCCTGACGCAAGTTTTATTATGTGTAGCTGACCATCATACCCGCTTATAGTCCTTGCGCCACATCTTCCACCGAGGCACCTATGAACAACCCGACTTTCATGCGAGACTCGATGTCAAGCCAGACACTCGCCTTCGAACTATATCCGAAGATGGCCACGAAGAAGAATATATTGCATCAGATTCCACTCTGCTTGCCTCGTCAAGCCCTCTCACGATACAACGATTAGCCGATCGGCGACTCCAGGTGATTCAAGGTCACTTGGCAGCTGCGCGGTCTTCGGGCTTTGCGACCGCCTTGTCTCCACTAGAATGGGTCATGGACACCTTGCCTGGACCGAATATTACAGATAAGCAGACTGTTTTGACATTTGCACAAATGACTGCAAATGACTATATTGAGGAGCCTGGAACAGGAGAGTGGCACACTATTAATGGCAAATTCAACTATTCGGGGAGCTTTGGTTGGCAAACGGATGGCCTGAGAGGGCACATCTACTCCGATAAGACAAATGACACTGTTGTCATTTCTCTGAAGGGCACTTCGCCCGCTCTCTTTGATGGCGCTGGCACCACAACAAACGATAAAGTCAACGATAATCTATTCTTTAGTTGTTGCTGTGGCCAAGGAGGCTCATATCTATGGAGACAATCCTGCGATTGCCAAAGTGCTACATTTACGGCAAATCTGACATGTATCGTTGAGTCTATGAATGACGAAAACCGTTATTATCGGGCAGCGATCGATCTATACTCTAACGTTACCGAGATCTACCCAGATGCAAATATTTGGATGACCGGTCATTCGCTGGGTGGTGCCATGACGAGTCTGGTTGGATTGACGTTCGGATTGCCTGTGGTCACTTTCGAGGCCGTTCCTGAAGCATTGCCCGCAGCTCGACTTGGCCTCCCAAGTCCGCCAGGCTATGACCCGCGGTTTCCACAGTCGCGACAGTTCACTGGATCCTACCACTTTGGACATACAGCAGACCCAATCTATATGGGAACCTGCAATGGAATCAACTCTATCTGTACATGGGGCGGCTATGCGATGGAGTCAGCATGTCACACCGGACAAATGTGCACGTATGACACTGTGGCAGACAAGGGCTGGCGTGTCGGTCTTGGTACCCACAAGATCGAGAATGTGATATCTGATGTTATCTTGAAATACGACAATGTCCCTTCATGTATCGCAGAGGAAGAATGCTTTGACTGTGAACTCTGGAAGTTCTTCCGAAGCAACGGCTCCGATGTCACGACTACTACGACTACCACCACTACCGCATCTCCCACCAGAACTTCTACTTGCAAGACCCCCGGGTGGTGGGGCTGTCTGGATGAAAGTACAACCGCTACCACTACGACAACAACTTCACCGACAAGCACTGCCACTACTACTACATGCAAGACTCCTGGCTGGTTCGGGTGTAAGGATCCTACCACAACAGCCATTCCGTCACCCACGGTGACTACTACTTTGCCCTCGGTGACTGCAACGACCAGCTGTCATGACCCAGGGTGGTTTGGCTGCCGTGACGGAACGAGCACGGTAGCTACGACTACCGCTACTTCTGCCTCGCCCACTTCCTCGATCTGTGATAGCCTGGGAAAGATGTGGGGATGTCGGGATGAGTCCACTAACACGCCTGCGATCACCTCGACGCCCACTCCTACCAGTTAAAACTCGTTCCTTCCCATGCATGCACTTGCAGCATACTCTTGGTGCCCCTTTAAATAGATTGATCCGTAGGCTCTCGAGAAGCGCAAGCGCTATATATACCCGCCCATTCTTATGATTTGATCAGGGCTCAATTTGCTTTGGGTTTTCCTTTTCCCTGCGATATACAAGATATATGATTGGCGCATTGAGCGAGCTTTTTTTGTTTTTTGTTTTTGTTTCTTGTTGTTTTCAATCCTCTGTGCACGCACGACAGCTTTTGATTATTCCTTGTACTAATTCTAAGGGAAGCACTATTCAGGGTTCTTTGTCGAGGCACTGCCTTGCGCAACACCTTGGAGGGACTGACCCTTGGAGTTTTTGGTTGCTGTCACACTCTGATAACTAGATAGTCCAATGAATTTGTTGGATATAAAATTGCGGATTAACTGACTTGTCTGCAGCTCAACAACTCTGCAAGGCTAAGTTCGTATCTTCGGGGTCGCGATCTCGGATTGTGCCGACAGAACAAACAAGCTTGAGCTCGGATCGAACTGCTATATTGGGAGAACAATTGACCTGCCGGCATTTCTCTCTCTCGGTCTAGCCACCGTCCATTTACAAACCTATTCCTTGTCCTTTTTTACTCCAATTCCGCGAAGTGGGCCCGAGAGGATGACATCGGCCTTGTTTACGATTGGATATCGCATACGCGTCTGACCTAGGCCTGGCATTTTAGATGTTTGTTTTACATCAATATAGTTGGTGATAGGATGATTTCATATCAGAAGCTGGTGGGGCTATGAGGTTCATTGAACTTTTCCATGGTTCCCCCGAAGGCCCTATATAAACCAAAGTGCTCCCGGGAGACTTTTCTCTCTTCTCCATAGACAATCTGCGATCATGGGTCAAGACAACGAGCCTAGTTACATTCCTTGTCAAAGCCAATAACACCGACTAATCCCCTCTCTTTCATAGGAACCTACCGCTACAATGAGACTCCAGTCTACACGGCCTCTAACGGCTGCCCAGTACGCCCTGCCCATTTCCCTTTGAATCGCAAGGTCTAACCATATACATATAGGTCATGGATCCCCAGGCTTCTCAGCGCATTGGCCCCAACGGCCCGCTTCTGATGCAGGATTTCCATCTAATCGATCTGCTCGCACACTTCGACCGTGAGCGCATTCCTGAGCGTGTGGTTCACGCGAAAGGTGCTGGCGCCTACGGCAAGTTTGAGGTCACTGATGACATTAGCGATCTCGTATGTAGGCAGTTTCTATACTTCCCCAGGGAATACTAGGCTAATAACGCATAGACGACCATTGATATGCTCAAGGGTGTCGGCAAGAAGACCAAGATACTCACCCGCTTCTCGACCGTCGGTGGTGAGAAGGGATCCACGGACAGTGCCCGTGATCCTCGCGGATTCGCCATGAAGTTCTACACCGAGGAGGGCAACTGGGATTGGGTGTTCAACAACACCCCAGCTTTCTTCCTGCGTGATCCTGCTAAATTCCCCATCTTCATCCACACCCAGAAGCGCAACCCACAGACAAACCTCAAGGATGCCACCATGTTCTGGGATTACCTCTCCACCCACCATGAGTCAGTCCACCAGGTGATGCACCTGTTCAGTGACCGCGGTACCCCATACTCATACCGTCACATGAATCGCTACTCCGGCCACACCTACAAGTGGATCAAGCCAGACGGCACCTTCAACTACGTCCAGATTCATTGCAAGACTGACCAGGGCAACAAGACCTTAACAAACGATAGGCGGCCAAGCTGTCCGCCGAGAACCCCGACTGGCACACCCAGGATCTATTCGAGGCCATCCGGCGCGGCGAGAACCCGTCCTGGACCTGTTACGTACAAGTCCTGAGCCCCGAACAGGCCGAAAAGTTCCGCTGGAACGTCTTCGATTTGACCAAAGTCTGGCCCCAGAATGAGGTGCCTCTGCGCCGTTTCGGCCGCTTCACCCTCAACAAGAATCCACAGAACTACTTCGCGGAGATCGAACAAGCCGCCTTCTCCCCCTCCCACATGGTCCCTGGTGTCGAGCCCTCTGCCGACCCTGTCCTTCAGTCCCGCCTCTTCTCTTACCCCGACACGCACCGTCACCGCCTGGGCGGCAACTACGAGCAGATCCCCGTGAACTGCCCACTGAAAGCCTTCAACCCCTCACACCGCGATGGCTACATGAACGTCAACGGCAACTACGGCGCCAACCCAAACTACCCTTCTACCTTCCGCCCGCTCGCCCACAAGCCCGCCAAGGCTAGCCAGGAACACGAGAAATGGTCTGGTGCTGTCATCGCCGAGCAGTACCCTGTGACCTCCGAGGACTACGTCCAGGCTAACGGCCTATGGCAGGTCCTTGGCCGTACCCCTGGCCAGCAGGAGAACTTTATCGGTAACATCTCTGGTCATCTGTGCGGCGCCGACGAGCGTGTTCGAAAGGCTACTTACGAGATGTTCCGTCGTGTTAACGCAGATCTTGGTGCTCGTATCCAGTCTGCTACGGAGGCTCATATTACTGGTGCCCCGCCAGCACGTTTGTAGATGTACTTTTGCTTGCTTGTGCTCTCATACTCAAAATAATCGTGGATTCACTCTACGTCGCTGCATCTCGGTATCTCGGTAATTTAAATACGATTTATGAATTACGAGGGCGGTGAGGTTGATGGCCCCTTGAGATGGTTCGGTTCGGCACCATATCGGAAAAAATAGATACTCTCTCTAGGTATCTTAGTCCAGCCGCGAACACGTTCCGAAGCAAAAGGAGAGTATCCTTTTATATCTATCTTAGCTGCGATCGGTTGTATGAAGAACTCCCGTGCCTAAGGAGTACGGTTAGTGATAAATGCTATTTCGGGGAGTGGGTCGCTATCCCCAAATCAAATTGGTGAGGCGGCGAAACACCAGTGTCGCGGAGTCTACGTTAGTACAGTATCGAGTTTGGCATTTTTTTTTTATCCTATACAATTATTACGGCTAACACGACGAATCCTGTCTTTTTTTTTCTGGCACACCTGGATAGGTTACGTTACTCAACTGTGCTCTCTGTTCACCATCAATAGACCGAACGTGATATCGCAACAGTTTTTATTGATGTGCCACCTACACACAGTCTACAGCAAGAAAAAAGTTCGACCCAAGGTTTGGAACGGGTCCACCTGGCTAAAAGGTCTAGGAACCATCATGATTTCGAAATCTTGTACGTGTTCTTCCACCCCAAACCGCTCATAGGCCTCGAGATCTTGCTCACTACTGAGAGGCTTGCGGGCAAATCTACGGCCCAGTCCTTCTAACTCCGGTAGAGACGAAAATAAGCGTGGCGCCTGCCTTAGCTCCGAATGTAGATATTGGCAGACAGACTTGTAGACACTTAGCAGCTGCTCTGGGCAGTCGGCCCAATGTTCCAATCAAGTTTGGCAGTCTTTTCCTGTCAGAAGGGGTACAGTAATATTCGAAATCAGTTTTAAAGCTACACTCTTTCGAATTGATTCCCGAATCTAATTTTAGCTCATCTCCTGGCAATCCCTGCAGGGGTGTATCGTGTTCACAGGTAACGACGAATGAGTCACTGTTATAATACTGTAACGCTCTATAGAATCCAGCGAAATCTTTCATGTAAAGAAACCAAACAAAGGGGGAATTCTCGCAGTCTGACAAGATCCTTCTCCTCCACTCTCGCAACTTGACACCGCATTACAAGTAGTCTTCGCCTACACTCGTTTGACACCCAATTGCAGACTGCGGCGGCGTTGGAGTATAGAGAACTAATCGTGATCCTGGTAGGAAATTATGCTTCTCTCCCTATGGTTTCTGCTATCTACGGCGATTTCCATTCGTTACCAGAGTATATTGAAATCTGGTACTCCGAGAAATTCACATAGGTCTTTCAAGGCCTTGATCGAGTCTAAATATAGCACAGATTCTATATCGCATCGATTATAAACACTACTTCAGTCCGAAGAGAATAAATTACATGAACTTACCTCGTTGTACGCTCTGACCCCTAAATACCTTAGTAGTCCTACGCAACACAGTCTAACTATAGTCCTTTCTCGTCCTAGTAGGCCTAAGAATGAGTCATAGCGCGATACTCTTAGGTTGCTCAAATTGTTCAAATAGGAGGATGGAAGAGTCTATAACCAGGACCGGCCGACCTATATCCACTACCGCATAGAGTGATGAGTAGCAGCCAATAATCGGGAGATTAAAAATGATACGGAGGAAGATTCGTTTTGGCGGCATTATACCTTTACAATACATTCAATAAAGAGGGAATAGCTAGGAGTTCAGAGAGGTGAGAGAAGTTCAATACTAGCTAAAGCGAGATCATAAGAGGATCTTCTTGCATTCCACGGCTGATTTGAGCCTGAAGCCTTTCATGCCACCTTGCCAGCTTAATGCGATTGCCGTTCTAGCTGAATCACGTAGCTCCGATTCATACTCCCCGATGACATGTCGACCGAGGGTTTGCGAACTTACTGCAACCTCAAGCCTGCGAGCCAGATCTGCAGCGTCACGCAAGGCAGTATTGGCCCCCATCGCTCCAGTTGGTGGCATGGGATGAATCGCGTCGCCGAGTAAAGTCACATGGGGCGAGGGCTCCCAGGAGGCCAACTCTGGTGAGGCAGAAAGCATCAACCGGGTTGACGTTTGAGCCTCGTCTTGCATCTCGAAAAGCACCTGCAAGTCAGGATGCCATGACTTGGTAACATGTCGAGCAAGTTCAGCTGACTTTTCTGGGCTTAATGGCCAGTACGTGTCATTTGACGACGAGATATTGGAGGAATGAGTGACAAGCACCCAATACACGTATGGGTCGGGAAGCTGAGGTTTCGAGACTTTTTCTGCGTGTGGGAAACGGATGGATTCAAATAGCAAGGAGGTCCGTGATTCATCGTCTGGGTTTGAAACAAGAGACATTCCATGGTGGTACGCCTCGGGAAACCGAGCCAGAAATTTGGGGCTCAAGGGTGTCTTTCCAAAGATGATGCGCATGCCGGTGTCGATACCCATGAAATCTGGTATGTACTGCTTGCGGACCCTAGATCGAACTCCATCTGCACCAACAAGGAGAGATCCAGTTTCCTTCGAGCCATTCGCAAAGAATGCAATTGTGTTTCCGTCGTTCACAGTGTAATGGTCGAAGCTCTTTCCAAAAAACACATGCTCATCCAAACCTGTCAGCAGAACCTCACGGAAAGTACTCCGATCCACAGTCTGGGGCTCGAGAAAAGCAGCCGACCCAAGGGGCCTAGGAGGACCAGTGCCGCCTAGTAGTGTACCATCGGGTTTAAGTCTCACGCCTCCCATTATCGTCTCGGCACAGGTGTTCTCGAACAGAGCATATAGCTCAGGCGACAGGTTATTACGAAGGGCGTAGATACCCTCACTTCCCACCCTCAATCTATATCCCTGAGTCCGAAGATCATGCCTTCCGTCCTGTTCAAATAGTTTGAAAGGAATGTTTCGTTTTTTCAGTCCCTGAGCCAAGCAAAGACCGCCAAGCCCAGCACCGATAATCAAGACAGGATGAGACATGGCAGTTGTGCAATAAGAAAGGGAGAAGCTGAGATCAGAAGCAAGGGCTGTTAATGTATGTCTTTGGGAGAACAAAACTGTATAGGCTTTTTGTTTGGCACATCGCTAAATTTATACATCATCGTATCGGCACGTATGTTCTCGGCCACCGATCTGATAGTCGGACATCGGGGCTTAAAGGTCCGACAGGTCGGTGAGCCATCTCGGGGCAATCAGATTGGCATACAAAGGACCAGGTCCGCGTTTTACAGCAGTGCAGGTCCTGAAAGTAGATAAATATTTGGCTAATTATTGCCAATGAGATACATACTGAACCCGGTATAGGATATATAAAATAATAAGAATACTACTAAAAGTATGATATAGAACATTCTTATTACTGCAAGGGGAATTTATAGTTCCCCCACGTGGGGTTGTCAGACTCATACTACATCTAGTTATATCTAAATTGTACAGTTAGTAGAATTTCAAGACTGTATGATCAGAAAATACTAGACTAATCAAGCCCGAACATAGCACGACTCGAATATCGAATAATGTTCGGACGATGACCCATCGCTTGCCCCATCCGGGCACCGCCAAGCTTCTCATCCCGCCAAAATTTGCGCTTGGAGGCGATCAAGCCCGTCAAATCCCCCGTTCCCCCGCCAATTCGGACCATTGGCTTTTATCCTCTTTTTGTCTAGCTCCTTTGTCTCTGCCGTACTCACTTACCCTCGGTAGGCGTCAAGGAAACTTTTCGCTGCCGTGGAGTGCCCGCGTGCAATGTTCCTGGCATAGTGGGTACTTTGATTTTTTATTCCCCTGACTTCCGAACCGGGCCAACTCTCAACTCCATATCGCAAGTTGCTCGAGCCAACCTTCCATTCCTCCCAGCGATCTCGGTTATTTCGTCCATCCAACATGGCCGAACCCAAGGCCTCAGATGCCATCACGCCGGTGGATGTCTTTCCCGAATATGGTTACTCTTCAGCCGCTGGACCGGGCTCGGACTCATCCACGACCAAGGTCATTCAAAATGCAAAGGCAGCCACGGAGAAGGAACGGTCTATGACATTGACACAGGGTATCCGGTTGTACCCCAAAGCCGTTTTTTGGAGCGTGCTCATCTCTACTTGCATTGCCATGGAGGGTTACGATATTAGTTTGGTCAACAACTTCTATGCCTTCCCGCAGTTCAATCGCAAATATGGTGAGATGCTGGCCGATGGCACATATCAAGTATCCGCTGCGGTAAGTTCAACCAATTCCGGCGGTAGCCATTCCTCTATCTCTTGGAGTGGGGTGGACTTACCTCTTTGAGGGATGAAGAAACTGACAATTCTCTGGATTTGAAGTGGCAAGCAGGTCTGAGCAACGGTGCCTACTGCGGCGAGATCATCGGTCTATTCATCAACGGCTGGGCTTCAGAACGATTCGGTTACCGGTACACAATTATGTCCTGCCTTGTACTTGTTAGTGCCTGGACGGCAATCTTCTTCACGGCCAAGAATGTGCATGCCCTGCTTGCAGCGGAGATTCTCTGCGGTATTCCCTGGGGTGTCTTTCAGACTTTGACGATTACCTATGCCTCGGAGGTGTGTCCTGTGGCGCTGCGAGGGTATTTGACGACCTATGTCAATTTCTGCTGGGGCCTTGGCCAGCTTATCGGCATCGGTGTGATTAAGGGCATGTTGAACCGGGAGGACGAATGGGCATACCGGATTCCATACGGACTGCAGTGGATGTGGCCGCTGCCGCTCTTCATTGGTATTTGGCTTGCGCCCGAATCCCCATGGTGGTTGGTTCGGAAAGGCCGCACTGAAGATGCGAAACGGGCCCTTCTCCGTTTGACTACCAAAAGTCAGGGTCAGGATGGGGATTTCGATCCGGATGAGACTGTCGCTATGATGGTTCATACTACCGCCCTGGAGGAAAAAATCACCCAGGGTGCGAGCTACTTGGATTGCTTCCGGGGCACTGATCTCCGCCGCACAGAGATTGTCTGTATGGTCTGGGCCATCCAAAATCTCAGTGGAAACTCCTTCTCCAACTACTCGACCTACTTTCTAAAACAGGCCGGGTTAGACTCCTCTAACTCTTACAACTTTGCTATGGGTCAATACGGAATCAATATGGTTGGCGTTTTTGGATCATGGTTCCTTATGACACTCGGAATCGGCCGGCGGACATTATGTCTGTACGGTCTCTGTGGTCTGTGCACCATGCTATTGGTCATGGGCTTCCTTGGCCTTGTTCCCAAAGAACACAGAGACCAAGGCTCCCTGGCCACAGGTTCAATGATGTTGATCTGGGCCCTATTCTACCAGCTGACCGTTGGAACGGTCTGCTTCTCCCTTGTTGCCGAACTTTCCACCCGCCGACTTCAAATCAAGACAGTCGTGCTGGGCCGCAACCTGTACAACATTGTCGCTATCGTCTGCGGCGTTCTGACCCCTTACATGCTGAACCCCGGCGCCTGGAACTGGGGCAACTACGCCGGTTTCTTCTGGGGTGGCATCTGCTTCCTGTGCATCATCTACACGTACTTCCGTGTTCCCGAGCCTCGTGGCCGCACGTTCGCCGAGCTTGACCTGCTCTTCGAGCGCGGTGTCAGCGCTCGCAAGTTTGCGACCACCCAAGTGGACGTGTTTGATGAGACCATTGAGAGTCAAGTCATTGATGATTACCGGGCAAATAAAAACACCCGAACCGATGAATGCGAATTGGAGAAAAATCACGGTTCGATATGATGCGATGTATCTTATGTTTACGATTAATTCTGCTTCTGGGCCCGAACTTGATAGGCCCCCTATGTATATAGCATTTTTCAGCAAATAGCAGTAGTAATCTAATATCTTTACATGATGATCAAACAAAATAAAGTCACACTGCTCCTGATGTAAACCACTGCAATTTCTTACATATCTCCACTTCTTTTTAGCACTGAAGAGCCCATTGCCTGCATATTCGTGGGGGCACCTGGAGTTAGTCCGGTTCCACTCTTACATCAATGGCAATTCTCGATCCCTCAAACTGACATATGACCTTTCGTGTTATTATGCCTCGACCAGGTACAATCACGGAACACCCGGCAATGCCAATTCGGAAGATGAGACGAACGTGGATGAGACACCCAGCTATAAGGTTGCAGTCGAGAGTTATAGGCACAAGTGAGTTATATGATACTGTTCTATGTCTTATAACGAATCCTCTGTTCTACAGCTTCAGCGTGAATTACACGCAAGCGATGAAAAAAACCAGCTTCTTCATTCCAAATGACTTTGTCATCTATTCGTTGGACCACTCGGGCTTCTTCTTTTCCGCAAAGGCAGTCATACCTAGAATAACCGTTAGCAAACCCACTCACACTCCCTCAGCAAACCGAAGTGCCAACTCACCAATCTTCTGATCCTTGCTCCCAAAGAGCGCATGGAACAATCGTCTCTCATACTCAATACCCTCCTTGAGCGGCAAGTCCTGGCTCTTATTGACAACCTCCTTAGCAGCGACAACAGCCACACGGCTATGGCTGGCAATAGCCTCGGCCGTCTTGTAGGCTTGCTCAAGCAGCTCCTCCTTACCACCCGGCACGACCTTGGCTGCGACGCCCCACTCACCAGCCTCCTTACCACTGAACATCTTTCCAGTGAGGATAAGCTCCATGGCCTTGCTCTTGCCGACCGCACGGGTCAGGCGTTGAGATCCACCGGCGCCGGGGATTGTGCCCAGCTTGATTTCGGGCTGGCCGAAGGTGGCGGTCTCGGTGCAGTACAGGATGTCGCACATCAGGGCTAGCTCGCAGCCGCCGCCGAGGGCGTAGCCGGAGACAGCGGCGATGACTGGGGTGCGGATGGAGGTGGCGAGGTGGGACCAGGGCGCGATGAAGTTCTCGCTGAAGGCCTTGGAGAAGCTTAGAGGGGCCATTTCTTTGATGTCGGCGCCGGCTGTGGTGGGTTTGTTAGGTTAGTATTGATGTACATTAGGATTAGGGCGAGGCAAGATGGGAGAGGATGTAGGACATGAAAAGTGTAAATAGGACATGTACATACCGGCAAAGGCCTTCTCGCTTCCTGTGATAATGATCGCGCCGATGCTCTTGTCATTGTCGTAGTTGGTCAGGGCTTCGTTAAGCTCCTTGAACAAGGGAGTGAATAGTGCGTTGAGGGCCTTGGGGCGGTTAAGGGTAACTATAACAGCAATGAGAATTGGCGGGCATTATATTGACTGATTGTACATACTCAATCCCACGCCGGGCTTGGGAACCGAAGTGAGGATGTGCTCGTAACTACCAGCGGCTGAAGAATAACCCCGGACTCGGGCTAGGTAGGAAGTCAAGGGGACCGATGTCCGAGCAGTGGCCAGACGAGTGCATTGACGGGCAAACATTGTGATATGTGAAGAAAAATATAATTACTTCTGTTCAGACAATTGAGGTTAAATTAATGCAGAGAAGGGAGAGAGACTACCGATGCGATACATCATAGATAATCGGTTTCCCCGCGACCGACTGAACGCCGCCAAAATTAACCGCCGAAGTTAACCGTCCCGAGGTCCATTCGAATTTGGCTAAGCCCTTTTCGTCTGCCTTATGTCACTGCACCGCCACATATCGGACTTCGCCACATATCACGTGCACTGGGATGGCTAGTGATTTGCATCTAAGCTGATTGGCCCGTGGGCAGTGGACACTTCTCTGTCCTGAAGGAAGTGCAGTGCCTGACCTGGAATGTCTGGTTTCAGCAGCTTATCTTAATCACTGCTTTTCTTTTGCTTCCTTCTTTCATTTCTTTCTTTCAGTGGTCCAGCCCTGTGCTTTACCTATTCTCCCTAATATTTTCATCATGGATGTCCCTGAGCCCGATCAGTCTCCCTTCACAGCCATGTCGGCGCACACCTCTCGACTGACTCGAGTGAGTGTCCCATGAGGGGCAAAGGCATTGCGCGATGTCTTTGGATCCTTCATTCCTGAGATCAGCCGAATGGCCCGACTAGTGTGCTAATACACCAATCACAGCACTATCAAGCCTACCTCGATGCCTCGACTCCGTACACAACCTACCGCTGGGTTGGTTCTGGTGTGCTCCTGTGCCTCTTCTTCCTGCGCATTTTCCTCGCGCAGGGCTGGTACATCGGTATGACTCCGTCGAGCCCCTATAAATGGAATCAGCAAAGCGGAAATGATGCGCTTCAACCCCAACGCCCGGGAGCCATTCATCCGCGGTGCTGTAAACATCTACATAAACAAACCGCTAACGCTGGGATCTTGAATCACAGTCGCCTATACACTCGGCATCTATCTCCTGAACCTCTTCCTCGCTTTCCTGACTCCCAAGTTCGACCCCTCTCTCACCCAGGACGAGGGTCTTGAGGACGGTGACGCCGGGTCCCCCAGCCTCCCTACCAAAAAGGACGAGGAGTTCCGACCCTTCATCCGCCGTCTGCCGGAGTTCAAGTTTTGGCACTCGGCCACTCGCGCCATCGCCATTGGCTTCGTTTGCTCCTGGCTCGCTGTCTTCGATATCCCCGTCTTCTGGCCGGTGCTGGTCATTTACTGGATCATTCTGTTTGTGCTGACGAGTATGTTTGCCCTTTTGGTCGGAATTCGATCCAATACCTATATCATTTTTATGGACATCTGTCTAACTTGACCCTTTTTCCAGTGCGACGACAAATCCAGCATATGATTAAGTACCGCTACGTGCCTTTCTCCTTCGGAAAGACGCGGTATGGCCGTTCATGAGAGTTTCGGTTTCTGGGCTTTTTTTCTGTCTCTGACTCTATATCCACGATCGTTCGCATGTGCATATCATGTATCTGTATGCGCACTTTGGCTTGGTGAGCAACAGACAGGCATGATATGATAAGAGGTGAAAGCGCGGGGCTCATGGTAGTCCATTTATGAATTTTCCCAGACTCTTTTTTAATCACTACTTGCTTAGAGGGCCGCTTTTTTGGCGTGTTCCAGTCTTCTTCCCCTGTGAAATATGATTAGACCTGAAGTCAACGAATAAATTAACTTGAAATATATTTATTGAGAGGATTCAATTCATTCCTTTTATAGTTTGCCAAACGAGAAGGTAACTCGTTTGAGACATCTCATGTGGAGATGAGCGGATTTGCGCTTGTATGCCGCTGTGATTGTATTTGAGAATATTTAGATTAAATTATCAGATGAATCAACACTTTATTTATCTCAAGCCACAAGAGCAAAGAGGAATGTCTAATCTTCTCGTCTCGTCTGTTGCCTGTTGCCTGTAGGCTTCACACTCACACCATCCCTAACATGGAGTAATACAACGCTGCGAACTCGACCTTAAGACTCTGACTCGCATTCACACTGAAGGAACATGGACATGAGCATGAACATGCCAGCAGTGTTCTCGACCTCCACTGAAATCACAATCCTCTTCACCGGCTGGACAACCTCAACCACGACGCAATATGTCTTCACATTGACCTTTCTATTCCTCCTCGCCATCTTCAACCGCTTTCTCGGCGCCCTGAAATCCCAACTCGAGAAATCCTGGTCCCAGCATACCTCTCCCCCTCCAACCGTGCTTCTCGCCCCAGTAAATCCACGGGAAAGCATCCGAAAAGCAAAGCTCAGTCCTCTTCCCAACTACATGCGCGTGCACGAGGACGAGGACCCCGATGAAGAGAATTTGCCAGTCTCGAACAATGACAATGAAACACAAAGCACGTCAATGAAGCATCTAAAAAAGGATGGCCCTCGGAATAGGACCTCCCTGAAACGCCTGGTCCCATCCTGGAAGGCCAGTGGAACGTGGAGTCTCCGAAAAGACGGGACACGTGCATTGCTTGAGTGTGCTAAGGCTTTGATTGGATATTTCTTGTGAGTTGTTACATCTGCGGCTGTCTGCATACTTATGTATTGAATGATCGTTAATTATTGGCATTGATAGGATGCTATCCGTGATGACCTTCAACGTCGGCGTCTTCGTTACTGTGCTTTTCGGCGTCCTGGTAGGCGAACTGCTTCTTGGAAGATTCTCTCAGGGAATCCCTGGCTGGCAGGAAGGGACTTGTCATGGTGGATGATTCTGCGTAGCGCCGTGTGGTGTCTCACAAAGGGGGCTTGGTGAAATACCTAATTAGAGCTATTGATCCTAGAATGACAATATCATCATCTATACTTCATCATTTGCCTAATTCCTTTATAAAACAAGAACGCTCACAGATATAAATAATCATATGCCCTCAGCATAAACACGATCGACCTGCTGCTGCTGTACTGGCTAAGTCTCAGATTCTGGTCTGCAAGCCATCGATCCTGACCAAACCGACAAAATGTTACTACAGATCTATGTCCAACCCAAATCCCCGGCATGACATGACGTACCTGGAGCAAGGGGAACCATAATCGCCCAAGCCTCCTGACAACTGCAATCAGCCCCATTGATGTGTGAGCACTTTGCTAGCGGACGTCCAACTTTAGGGATTCTCTTCATCGGTCGGTCATATTGTGCACATTTGGACGAGCGGTGGCCTCGAATACAGGATTCACTGTTTCAGGGTCCGTCGGTATGTTTTTTGTCTACCATTTCAGACAGGAGATATCTTACCAAGACCATTTATAGCCTTGGGAGTCGAATGCCATATCTCTGATTTGCTGGTTCGAATATAGCCAAGTCCAAAACAAAAACAAATCGTGCCAATGTCTATGGGGCCCGAAAATGGAGGAAATATTAGATATATTTATCGAGTAAATACTGAATATGTAGACCACTTGCGCAAATTTGCTTAAATTAACGCTGGGGATCGGCCGCTATAAAAACCTTCTGGAGATCGACGCTGTACCTAGGGTTTTACAATGCAACTTTTGATAGTTAGTTAACTTACTAACTAACTAGTTAGTTATAGGACTATGCTGACTCTAGTCCGTACGTGGGCAGAAAAAGCCACCAGGCGGGGCATCCAAGGACTCCGCCTTCGGGATTCAAGTGGGGTTTGTGTTTATCCCCTCTCCCCTTTCCCTCAAGGGTTTCAAAGCATCAATATTCAGCAATCGGTCTGTCAAGTGAGCTAAGAAAAATCACATTCCTCGGCACTCCAACACGCATGGCTGATAGCAGAGCGCGGCTCTAGAACAGTCGAATCTTAGTACTGCATTCGCTTGAACACCCAAATCCAAATAAAGACAAAAGCGAGTTACGGAGATGGACCATTCTCCAGGGTTTATTATCATACCTCAATGCGTATCTGTGGCGCTCGTGAAACAATTTGCGGAGGAGTTTGATCAAGATATCGCGAAAAAACGACCTATGGTGTGCCGAGAAAAGTACAATGAATACGCGGTTTCATCGTTAGGTATTGCAATAAGAGACGATTTTGTGAAGGTATCCTATCATTCTTCAGCTTGTCATTTGAAAACACTAAGAAAAGCAGAATAATCAAAGAATACTCGAGCCCTTGCTATCCGCGAGTGCAGTACCCCACTGGCCAATATCGACTCATATAGGGGTATTTCACCAAACACATGCGGATCCATCAAGGTTGATGACTGCAAATTCGGAGGAGGTTTATGTTACCATTGCAGTGACGGATCTAGGGCAAGATAATGGTTGGTTCACGTTTTATGAAGGGTCTCATCTACGGAAACCACCCATTGAACACCCCATGCGCTTGAATCTGAAAGCGGGTGATGCCGTTGCTTGGAGTGGCAGAATTGTTTATTCTCATAATAGCGGAGGGGGAGGGAAGTTTCTTACGCTTGTTTATCGGTTAACTGCGGGCTGAAGTGATGTATATTCACGAAGAGCCTCAACTATGGGGATCTTGCCAATTGTCCCTCCGAAATAAATGATCATGTTCCCAGTCTAGCCAAAGAAAATAATTTTCCCAATCCAACATGTCATAGCCTCCGGAGCTTGAAGCATTAGGCTCTAAATCGAGTGGAAGCTGCTCCGCAACCCGCAAAGTAGGTGAGCTGATGGAAGAACTTTGGTGAGATGGAAGATGCGGCTGTATACCAGCTAAGCCTAAGTGTTCAACGGGTAACCCAGGTCGTTCGGGCCCTTGTCCTTGTCCTTGCCGCAAAGGCCTGCTATTAATGTCAAGTGGGCATTCATCAACGTCGCTAGGATCGTCACTTGAAAATACATTTGCCTCTGCTCCTCTGACTTGTAAAGCGTTGGGAGAAAATGCACTTTGTGATCTGTTCTGAACTGTTAAATCAACGCTGGTTCCTATGATTACTTCTTCGCCATTGCCTGCAGCGATTAATAGCTATTCTGATATACAAGAGGGTCAAATCTTACCATTTGCTTCATGCCGGTTTCGGTCTACTCCTTCCCTGTCATGTTCGGGGTCTGAAGGTGATGGCATAGGCTCAGGTTGGCATACGCGAGGCCTTTTTGACGTGCGGAGTCGTCCCGACTCAAGACGCCGTTTCCACCCCTTCGAGATATCCAACACCTTCCCAAATTGCAAGGGACAGTTTTCTATGTATTGCAAATCGTATCCGAGTATTTCACATATTTGACTTAGTCTTCAGGGGGAAAAGGATTAGTGACGAGATTCTGAAATCAATTATGGAAGTAACAAAAGCTTACGATAGACTTCCTCTAGCAAGCCTTTCAATTATGAGAGGAATAACAAGAAATGCTGGTGCCATATCCGTTGCCTGGTCAGCATGATGGCCGGCCTTCGTTCTCATCTGTCGTAAGAAATACGGCAGACTTTCGGAAGACTCGGCGTATCGTGCATAAAAGGTAACAGGTTGCCCAGCTTTCAACAACTTGTTAATATAGATAAAAGACCGGTTATTCTGACTCACCTTGCAAAAATATATCAGAGCAATCCGATCTCCACTGAGTCTCAGATAAAGCGAAAATAGAGCGATTTGCCCAAATTGCACCACGAGTCAGCTTAATAAGATGCTTCTCCTGGGCGTCGTGCCCGCTATATTCTCGCATGACTTCGAATACGCTGGCTGCGTCCCCAACCGTTTTTAGCGTGACTGCACAAAATGACATGAATACGAGTTCTCGAAAGCACACCAACTTGCGATAAAAATCGCCTTCGGGGCTTGTTTTCATCGCGAAGTCACAATATTGGTGCAAAATAGGAACAAGACCAACAATTTCGGAAGATGTTTGTTGGGAAAATCTGGGTGGCTGGTATGATAGAGTATCAGCATGGGACAGAATCCTCAGCGTGATTTCACCATCCTCCAGAAACTTTTGCTTATTGGATCGCCAATGACCCAACGGCGGTATCTTTGCTAGGAGACTGTCCAAATCAGATTGCCACCTCAATCGTGTTTGGCTATTGGATGGCTTTTCGGTTGGAGCTCGGTCGATGCGTGTTGGGTCGTATTCGATGACTTGGAAGCCCCTAGATTGATTCGCAGGTTCATTCGTATGGTATTGGCGACTACTGGGGCGTTGGTTTCCCCCGGCTTCTATTGACTGAGGAGCGGGAGAGTGACTTTCTAGGCTGGACAGCAAGATTCGCTCCAGCTCAAGTACTTTAGCCTCGAGAAATCGGATATAGGCCGTGTCGTTGCCCTCGAACTGAATTCGACGGTGGATTTCCATAGCGGAGACTGGAGTGAAAAAGAAGGGGGAGGAAGGAAGCCTACCTATGGCTCATGTGATAATCGAGTTCCATTTCTGTGCGTGGCACATTACCATTGGAGGCTATAGATTTGGCTATATTTTTCAGTGGTATAATGCATCATATATAATCAGCCAATTAATCACATACGATGTAGGGCGCTTAGTTCATGCATGCAAGCTTCAACCCATTATGCCTACTTAAGTCCCGATATGCCCGTGGTCTGCTCTTCAGAAACTTTCTATTTTACATATCGCAACTTTTCTCTTTCCCTTGCCATATCCTTGTAGTGTTGTTATTACAGACTAGTCGTGCTTTCTCTGCGCAGGGATAGACATCGTCTTCTCAGCTCTTTCGTCTCCCCTTGCTTCGACTACTACTCTTGCCATAATTTAACATTCAATCCATCTCTAGGAGAGATGCCGACAGCTGGTCATGGATAAAAGTAGGGTACTCAGGGAGGAGCGAGTACCTGGGAATGTAGTTCGCTCTCGATCCGGAATCCCCCACTGGGGGGCGCTACGAATAAGGCTTAGTGGTCTGTCGCTACTAAAAATATGTACGTTTACCGATTCGGAAACCCGTGGCGGGGTGAGGATTTGAATTTGGTCTAGCGTTTATAATGTATGTCAGACCTGCCTGCTGGCTAGCTTGATTTGTAAATCTTCTAACTAATTGAACGTCGTCAAATTGGTCAGCAAGCGCATAGGCCTAGGTTAGAGGCGTTCTAGAGTTGCTATTGGTCAGATTAAATTTTCGGGCCACAATTTAGATATAACATGTTTGCTTTTACGAGCGCCCAAGTGTTGGCATCATTGGATGAAAGGTATTAGTCATTTTAGGACGGGCTAGCATGTTTAACTGAGCTCTTGCTCTACTAGCTCGATTCAGAAACATCCGTTGAGAACATCGCCTGATTGATTTCAATAAGAAAGCTCCAGATCGTATTGAGCAATGAACCTTTGAAAGCTGCATCTTTTCCAAAGAAAGATGATGACCACGCCGCATCCTTTGAAGGGTCTTGAACTGACACTCGAAGGAAAAGCTATCATGATAGTATAAATATGTCTAAGTAGCCAGCTCGTAGTTTGTGCTTCTTTGCTCGATATCTGATTATTCTGGTCTCTCAGGTATTCAAGTGATTTCGAAAATCCCCAAAAAGAACTTACTAACTAATCTTAGAGATATCCTCGCTCAACATGGCTACCATCTTCAAAAGATTCTATACAGTTGTGGGAAATGTGACTTTGGATCATGTGAGACAACAAAACGCCAATGGAGCTCATTGGGCCGAAATCCTTGATACTGCTACTAAGAGGGAAGAGATCGCGGCAAGTAAAATGCTAGGTTATGTATGACTGCCAATTTGCTAATACAAATAAAAATATAGAACCCAGCATTCACAAAGCTCCGGATCCTGTAAGTTCGGTGAGACGGTATTTTCTCCTATCTGTTGCATTCGACTAACACTCATCTGCGAATTCTAGAAGGGGCGCTCGTGCACACAAATCCCACAGTGACCCAGACGAAACGCAATATGTGATTTCCGCCCGGCTTTTGACTGAAAGGGAAACCCGCATTAAGTCCTTGCATGTGCGCGAGGATGGAACCGTGAAGCCGAGTAAATGAATTTGTTATTGCTCTACGGTTCTGTTGGTCAAGTCCTTGCCAACTATTTGACAACGTGGATTATTGTGCGCGAATTCTACATAGTCCTATTGTTCTTAGTGATTCAATCTTATATGCTTGAAATTTTGTTTTCGGTAATGACCCTCTACCGTAAGTAGCAACATCATGTATGTAGTTATTCATGAATTGCGGAGTTGTGGGGCCCCGTGATTTGATACCCAAGGTTCGGATTTTAAGGTTATGTAGGCTAAAGGGTGGAGTGTCAGAATCTAGGATGAATACTGTTATTTTTCATTCCTGATACAGTTGGGTCACGTGACTGACCAGGCTGGTATTTCTGCAGAAAAACCAACTCAGGTGGTTTTTCGCCCGAAAAACCAGTCCCGCAGTTTTTCGCCCGAAAAACATCCTTTCATTTTGTTTTGTTTGTTTTGATTACTAAGTTGTCCACAAGATTGTCATGTTTTAGGACTATTGTCATTTTTAGAGAGTTAGAGAATTTATTGAGATTTTTCTGCCACATATACAATCGCCTTACCACCGTTTTTCCGTCATGGAGTAATGTATGTTTCTCTCTCTCTTACTCAAATTGCTAGTCTCTACTTTTTCCTGACATATTCTAAGCTTTGGCTAAGCATTCATAGTAACTTTGAGTTTCAGCATACAGGGAGCTACCTACCAAGTATACCTAGGTACCTCCATTCGCTTACATACTCAGCATAAATACCTACTAACTACATACCTAGTTGGCCGGCGGTGAGAACGGTGAGAATATCGATTCCGCCTCGCTCCCATAAGAACAAGGCCCCTTCCTTCCAGGATTTCTTTGTTTGACCATCTTTTTTTCAGCCTACGAGTTCAGAATCAGCATTTTTTTTCGCTTTGAAATTCGACTAGTCAAATCGATCTCAATGAAGTATTTTTCATTTGGATTCGGTCGCGCCTTCTGGCGCCGAGATCCATCCCCCTATCGAGCTATCCGACCATCAAGTTTCAAGACTCTCGACCCAACCAAAAAGGTTGAAGAGGAGCGAATGCCTGCTTATGATCTAGGCCTCTTCTATCCTGTTCGGTTTGGGGATACATTTCAGACTCGGTACCAAGTTATCAGCAAAGTGGGGTTTGGAGCGACTTCAACCATTTGGCTCTGCCGTGATATCCAGTAAATTACAAGTCCGCGTGCACTGCTTGCTGTCTTACTAAACCGAGCCTAGGAAACATCGCTATATTGCCCTGAAAATCTTCATTCAAGACTGGAGAAAGAATCGAGAAGTCGAAGTCTTAAGTCGGCTTTCGGAGCTAAAAACGAGACATGATGTGAATGGTCTCATTCGTACCATGCTCGATTCTTTCGAAATAGAAGGTCCTAAAGGCAAATACCAATGCATTGTCTTCGAGCCTCTTATGACGAGTTTGTTACATTTTCAGGAGACTATGGACTCACCAAGTTTGCCGGAAAATTTATTGAAAGCACTGTTGGAACAACTACTTCTCGCCTTGGAGTTACTTCATTCTGAGGCTGGGGTTATTCATACTGGCAAGCTCCCCCTTTTTACAAGCGGTCATGCGTCTTCAAAATCGCTAACATCATATATCTCAAATGTAGATATCCAGGCAAAAAATATCATGATTGGTACCCGCGACAACTCCATTTTTAGCGACTGGGAAAAGTCGGAGAAAGAGAATCCAAGTTCACGCAAAGTTCTTGATAGCCACACAATCTATGAGTCTCAGCCTTTCCGCCGAGCAAATGCTCTGAGCAAATTCGGGCTGCCGCTCCTCTCCGATTTCGGTGAAGCCCGAATAGGGAAAGTGCATACTGGTTTGATTCAGCCGGAGTTGTATAGAGCGCCGGAGGTCATTCTTGAGATGGAGTGGACATCCAAAGTTGATATTTGGAATGTTGGAACGCTCGTAAGTTTGTCTTCCTTTCTGTATGTCTCCGTTGACATGTGGAAAAATACTGATATGCGAGCAATATCAGATCTGGGATTTATTTGAAGACGGTCATTTATTCGATGGCAGAGGGCCTGACAAACAGTATTCGGACTTGCATCACCTAGCTGAAATGACAGCAATTCTCGGTCCTCCACCGACGAGCTTTCTGCGCAAATCCCCAGAAAGCCAAAAGTATTGGGATCAATCTGGTATTCGAGTCTCCATTCCGTACTTAACACCGTTTCGGGCATGTTTAACATATACACAGGTCAATGGAAGGGAGAAGTCAGTGTCCCTGAATTATCGTTAGAAGATTCGGAGGTATATCTTGAAGGTGAAAATAGGCGTCTTTTCCTGCAGTTTATGCGAAAAATGTTGCAGTGGGATCCAGATGACAGGCAATCCGCCTCTGATCTTTTGAAGGATCCTTGGCTTAATAGTCTCTGAAATCATGACTGAACGCCTATGTATGTGTGATCGACAAGTATATGTACTTAGTGAAGAGGGATATGCACGATGGGCAGTCTGGCCTAGCAGACAAGACGAGAGGGACACAACAACACTAACCATCTAAGGAGGTCAGTTAGCAAGCATGGGGTCATACAGACCATAGTAATCATCCTTCTATACTAATGGAACAACATCCTGTAAGCCTCTTCTCATTCTGTGTGTCGTCCGTGGGTGTTCGTTCTGTACGTTGAGTTCTATCTGACATGCATGGAGGCCCCGAGATTTCTCCCTGTCTGAAAACCAAGGCAACTATCTGATGACTCCGGTTTTCTCTACCGCATCAGTTTGTTTCCACCATTGTGCCTAGCCCGGCGTCATGCAAAAATATGGCATCCTGGATTTTTGTTGTACGGGAGTGTGTTTCTTATATGTAAGATACAGATTGAAAAAAAAACATATGAGACCAATCATGTCTCCTGTGGGTTCAACCCATGGTCTTCTAAGGTCCCATAAAGATTGCTGCCCCATTTTATTCTTATCATCAACTGTTTAAGGGTCAGTGATTCTACTGAAATAGCACATTCCATTCATCTGATTCCACACTGGAATTGAAAACATAATTCGTATCATACTCCTGACCCCTGCGCTTTTGAAGGCAAGCATACGAAACACTCTATCTAACTCCACCTAACTCCAGATCATAGGTATCATGAACAGGCAACATCAAGGGAAAACAATTATCGCCAACTTAAATCAACAGACTCTCCACACTGCTCGGCATCTTACCTGCAATCATAGCACTTTCCCCCAACGATAGAGTCGACATTTTGCGGTCTGTATTCGGGCGTGACAAGTCCTCAATCTTAGTACAGATCCAGGTTGACGCGTACATATTCACCCTAGAAAAAATGTATAAGCTTCATCCGTAATTAAGAACCAAAATACTGAAACTCACCGATCAATACATGTACCTGGGAAACGAGCTCCCACACGACGAACAGAGAAGCCGTTTTCCTCAAAGTGCTTGATGTACCAAGGATTGATACTGGCGGAACGGAGGAGGATGCGACCGCCCTTTTTCAAGGCTTTGTTGAAAGTTCGGGCTTGGGCAGGGGCTGAGTCCTCTGCGGGATCGAACCAGTCCATTGAGTCCATTACCTGGTGCAAGTTTAGTATGAAAAGTCCCGTTGAAAAATATTTTGGTACTTACCACGGCGATAGTCAGAGTTCCTGGGGTGATACGGTTGATCACTTCGTTGATCTCATCAGTGTGGATGCGAAGGCCATCAAATGCACCAGGTGTGGAAAGCCTGACGTGTGCTTGAGGAGAAAGATAGGTGGGGTGGCATCTATAATTTTAGTTAGTACGTGCAGTTGAAAAGATATATAAGAGAAAACGAACCTTCGGGAGAATTTGCCCTGAGCGCAAAGGAAGTAGAAATAGTTATCGTTGCTGATCAAAGTATCGTTGATCACAGGGTCGAGAGTATTGACAACATATTCCCAAATCGATTGGCCGCTGACGTCCTTGCCATTCTTCATATCTTCCGTCAAGCCGTTGCGGCGGAAGAAGTCGTCGACAATCATATTTCTTTGGTTGCGTGGTACTCCAGCAGCCTTCCAGGCAAACCATTCGGTGCTCACAACAGCCCAGTGGAGTGGTCTGCTCATTAGCACACGTCGAATGCGAGGCCATATTTCGCGCTGCTCTGCGAGACTCTGCGCTTCGCACAGCTTGCGAACTTCACCTTGGAGTCCGAAGATATTGAAGAGCCATCGCACCATACGAATCGCGTGGCGAGATCCACCGGTCTCATACAGACCATGGCCAGAGGTAGAGGTGAAGATCTGGGTGTGCTCGAGCCAGTACTGGAATGCCTGGCTGGACAGGTGAGGGCTGAGCTTAGAGATTAGCAGTTCGCGGAACTGTGCGTGCTTGCCATCACCGAAGATTTTCCACATATCCCGGTGGCCCAAAGCTGAATAACAGGCGACCTTCAGCTCGAGAAGATGATTCTGGTTGGGGTTCAAGTCCACTGCGTGCACCCGGCGGGGGCTCTTTTGAAGATAATCGAGGATGTTGTCACCAGCGCTGGTGATCGCGAGGATCACGTCGTCTTTACCGATGTTCAGGAGGCGGTGGTCAACTCGCGGGTCTTCCCATGTGAACGCGTAGATATATTCGTTCTGGAATTGAGTATGTTTGGGTAGCATGTCGTTGTAATAAATGCGATAATGGTGATTCTGGTAAAACGACGACGGAAGAGGCAGGTTTGCACTCAGGTTAATCACCGCAGACTCATATGCCTTGGAGCGAATCTCATGTGTGCTTTTCACCACTGCATTATCCATCTCCTGCTTGTGATTGGCAGGAAGCAGGTAAGGAGATTCAGTAAAAGATGCATCCAGCCTCTCAATGGATTGACTTGATGGGGTAGATGCCATCTCCTTTGGACAGCCGACAAATATGTAGTAGGGAATACCACCGAGGAAATAGTTTCGTTCGCTGGCAGAGATGACAGTACCAAACTTGTATTCCAGATAGTCTCGGCGGGCAGCTTCCAGACTGACCCGGTCGAAATCAAACCAGGCTCTCCAGAATACACGCCCAAGCCAGTTGACATGGCGGTTGAAAGCGCCGCCAGTATAGTTGCGACAGGACACATCGACAATGCTCTGGACTATATTGAATGAGTGACATTCATGCAAAGCCTTGAGGTATTACTTACCGTAAAAGTCACACACACCCAACATTCCAGTTGACTTCAGGCGGGAGGTTAATGAGTCCACCACGCTGTAATAGTCTAAAAAGTCAATATAAATAGTCTTGCGTGGATCTTCAATACTCACCAGGGATCATTGATAGACTGTAGCTCATAGTAATCAAGTCCACGCCATCACTTGCTGCATTTGTAGACTGCGGATTGAAGTTCGTCCCGGGCAGGTGGAATGACCGGGCATCCTGGCAGAGAACAGTAACGTTCTTCCACCCAAGACGCTCGAAGCGGTTGCGGGCAACTTCGCAGAGGGACGGGGAGAGGTCGACCAGGTAAACATGTTTGAAGAACTTGTCCACCGGAAGAAAGGCCGCCATGGCTTCGATGTTGTATCTATCGCGAGTTAGATGTTCTGTATCACCTCGGGGTTCCTTTCGTGCCTACCCAGTACCGCCACCGACCTGGAATCGATTAGCGCTAGCTCAGAAAATAGCAATTCAATACTTACATCCACCCAGACAGCCTTTCCAGCCTTGACTTCTTTATTGCCGACCTTGTACTTCAGCTGTGCAGCCACCAGGCCAAGCATATCCTCTCGACCACAGAGCAGACGACGACGAGTGGCATCGTAAATTGCGGCCTGACACGGTCAGCTTGGAGCCATATTGAAGCTCGCACACATTTGATCGCACCTGGGTCTTGTAGAAGCTCTCCAACGCATCTTGCTGGCCTCCAGCTTTCTTATCATGGGGTTTGATGAAGTTCGCCCAGATGAATTTCAAGTAAGGTCCAGCACCAGTGTTGGCAACCTTGATGTGCTGAGAGGAGACGAGAAGAACCAAGCCGACTAGGGCGAATACCAGTAGGGCTGCCCCGACGATGTAGACGTGCATCCAATCCATGTTCAATATTCAGAGTGATTCAACGAAGAGCAAGAGAAGCGACCGAGAGATTGAAATATAAAGCGAATCGGCTCTAATTGACCCCTCCCACGGGAAGACGGCAACGTGTAGCACGTTCTATCACAGCAACACATGGGGGGTGCATTGATAAGAGAGAGTGGAGGGGCAAGTGAAGGTACAATAGACATGACCTGCAGGTATACCAACGGGCATGAAGAAAGTAGCTTGTACATGGACCACTGTAGCCATTTGGATTGAACAGTCGATCATCCGAAAGCAGCACCGACCAAACCCAAATGACTGCAAATCCACTCCGATCCGACTCTAAGGGCAATTGGGTTCCTGCAGTAGCTCGTCGTCCCCCGATGTCTGGGCCACTCACAGCCCACTCACCTCCCATGTGGTTCCCTGGAAGTCTTGGCACTGCCCGTTGGGGTCCCGTCGACTTGGCCCGTGGGGCATACCGTGCCCCCCATAGGGCCGCCACCAGGGCCAATCTTTAGGGCCCACGGGCGCCAATCAGATCCCGGATTGCTAGCACACTGGGAGTTCCCCAGGTTTGATGGGATCTCAGTGTCACCACGATGTATTATAAAGGGCCTAGATGGATCCCGAGGACCGGAGCATCTCGCGATCATATGCGGATTATTAGTTTGTCAATTCAGTTTGTAAATCAATCCGAACTCTTAAACTCTCTCGGGTCTAGTTATATATAAAAGTGTTAGGAACATTGGCCTTTCTCACTCTATTTATGTTACTTACACCACCAGACAGGAACCAGCGAAAAATTACCGAGACTGCCATGCTTACTTGAATGAATGACAAGTTATTAGTACTAAAACACTCCAATAGCGGCTGTCTAGTTGAATGAATGAGCGACACAACAGTAACTATATCGAGTTTTAGTTTAACTAAAATGCCGCCAAAAAATGCAAATGGACGAACGCTACATGAATTGACTAAAACAATCTCTGGTTAGTCACTAGCCCTAGTTTACTAATTGTCTATCACATAGAAGTATGAGATACTGTCTGTGGCGGTGTACGCTTCCCTAATCAGGCCTGGATAGTCACCCTGGACAAGGATTTCTGCTCCGTTATAGGTGATAGCAGCACCCCTTCTCAATGGCCTATGAAATTTGTAAGATCAGCTGTTTAATAAAGATCATAATTGTCCGAACCTATGTTTGAGAGTATGCATAGTTCGATCCAAGATCCAGGAAAAACTGCTTGGCTGTGTCCTCGAAGCAGTTAGTCTTGAAGATTCCCCCGTCATATATGTTCAAATACACCGTCATATCATCAAAAGGTCTGGATGAATCTACGAAGAGTGAAACCACTTCCGGTACACAAAAAACGGGATATGCATACTTCTGAGCCTGATGCTCTCGCAGAATAACTTACAGAAAGGAAATTGTAAGCATGAAATGACTAGATCAAGTATTTTAGCCCCCAAAGAATATGCTCTTTCAGGTTTAGCCTAGGAGCCTCTATGGCCCCACCATTTAGAGTTATATCTAGGGACGCAACTTCAATAGGTAGTCGGCATAGAAAAACATATTTCGAAGGGTACATATAGTGACTTCTTTTATCACCGCACTATTCGCGTGTAGAAAAATTATTGATGGAACTCAAGTGCGTATTTACACTACATCACCCAACCCAATTGTCAATGGCTGGTGTCTTGAGCATGCTACTAGATCCTCAAAAGATCAGGCGCATATTTGGGTAAATACAAGGGTGAAAAGCATGTACAGGATAATTTCAAGTATTAATCTAAAGGTCGTGCAAGAGTCGGAGATCACAAATGATCTACGATCTCCGAAATGAGAGAAAGAAAATGGATTGATACAATGAGATGTGTAAAGGTGAAGAGATTTTATCATTGAGCTTTGAGTAGGCTGCGACACAACTATAGTGCAGACGTCGTTTAGTTGACGCAAAAATAGCCCTTACAGACTAGACCGTCGCTGAAATATCCTTTGAAGACTCCACGGGTTCCTTTGTACTCCAAATATCATTGCCCGCAGAGAAGAGAACCACTTCATCGCAATGTCGGGAAAGGAGATGTCGATCGTAAGACTAGGGGGCGATGGTAAGACTTCTTTCGTTATTGTCGTAGTAATCTGTTCAAATACGAGCATAGACACCTGCTATAAGTATTAGTGAGAATCATTGCTCGAGAAGAAGGGTATTGAACAGCAGTAGCTCAAACTAAGCTAGGTGGTGATAGGTCGAGGTTGCAACGATTTTGTGTGAAATATAGCGTGGTAAGTCGGCTTGGCAAACAGGATAACGTGTAGAAGGAGCTTTGGTTTGATGCCACAAGGAACATAGGTTGATGATAACTTGAAAGCGATTGAGGTTTGCCATTTGCGTAGATTCCAAGGGTGGGGTAGGAGACAGGGGTCGAAGAGCAGGTGATAAGTTAGGCATTCATGGGTTGGACTTGGGTTTGGGAGAGTTCCATCCCATTTTCCCTATTCTTTCACCCCTCCATCGAAATGATACGTAAGGCTATCTATCATATGTAGTTGGAGTAATCTGTACATATGGGATAAACCATATCTTACCAACTTTGAGTGTAAAGCTTCGTCTAATCCTCCCAAATCTCGCTTTGACCTCCTTCAAAAAGAAAATCTAGCTCATGGGCCCATGCAGGAAGCAACAACCAGGACGCAACAAGCGCTGGAGTCGGATAACCCTGGTCAATTATGACGGTCAAGGTAACATGTAACACATTGCGACGATTTATGAGATATAATCTTGCGTCTATATTAGCATTAACGCTGCGGACATTCCAGTATACTCTCTATTGTTTCTATGAGGACCCTTCGAAATCTACAGTCACATACATATACATCAAGACATTTTGACCAGTAGCTTGAGAGTTGAGACCCCATGGGCTTTCTCGGCATAGTCTCCGAGTGGCTCCTTTCTACCACGGGTTGGATCTCGATGTTGGGAAATGTGCACACTAATGCCGAAGGGTATGTGGTAGCTCGGAAGCGTTCGATTGTGTATCGTCCTCACCCTGAGATGGTTTCCGCTGGAGGAATCGGCAGAGGTGTTCGGGAGACTAGGCTGGCCTTTTCTATCATTCAACCCTCTCACTGAGAGTTTTTCTGTGAGCTGTACGCAGTAACAAATGAAGAAAAAGGAGGAGGCAGAAGGGGAAAAAAGAAACCATGATCTGCGGGAGAGTACTGAAGTGCAGCTGCATTCCCAGCGCGTAATTCGCTGGCCCCGTCACCCTTGCAAGCCAGCGAAAAACCCCCAATTCTGAATTCGCTTCTACTGCTCATTGGTTTAACCAATCTTTACTCCCTGGTAGAGAGGGCATAGCCCCATATGGCTTTGGCTTACAGGGGAAGAACGGTGACACCCACATTAAGAAGAAGCCTACTTCCGTTTTATTATAAATTCTCCAACCTGCTCCCTCTGTCTCCTTTTCTCTTCGCTGCCCTTTCCTAGTTACTACTGAATTCAATTCCACATCAGTTTCATCCGCAGTCTCCAGTACCAAATGCCACCAATGCTACCCGGAGTACAAGTGGAAGCCTTTTTCAGTAAGGAATGGGCCACCACTTCATATTACAGGCAGGTGATAAGATATCTTACACCGGCAGACATCTCTGTGGTCCTCTACCATGGGCAAGTTCAATTAGATCCAAAGGAGATACGAAGCGAGACAGAAGACCAGCGAGAAGAGAGGATACGCGAAGCGTGCCTTGAGGTGATAAAAAGTGACAAGCTTGGTTCAATCGTGAAAGATCCACGCCTCACAGCGCCACCGTTTATGGGGCTCCAAACAATAAACATTGGTCGAATTCTGTTGGGTCTGTTGAGAAACGAAGAGATTGGTACGTACTCCTCCAACATACCAGGGCTGTTCCGTCACCTGACAGTCATTAGCTGCTGCGAGTCTCACCTTGGATGGCCTTTATACCTCGACCCAGTTTATACGATTGTTAGTTCACGTGAACGCACCGGAAAGCGCACTAGAAGTTGGACCAAAAGACAGTATCAGAGTGATTGGGCAATCATTCGAACTCGATGGTTCAATGTCATTTCAACTCTACTCAATAGGCAACCCGGTGTAAGTGTTGAAGTTCTCTAAGGAGTAATACCAGCGTTGACCAAGCTTAGGAAACAAGAGCAGACCATCTCCACCGTCGAAGCTGGGTCTCTCGACTGGGAAGCGGCTATTACGGCTCGCCCGTGGCAGGTTACAATCCAGATTGTTACGTGGGCGACACAAAGAGACCCATTGATTCAGTGAGCCACTCTGATCTCCTCGAACAAGAGTTTAGTCTTTAACCTACACTAGGGCCTTCATGCGAGTGCCTGTCGACACACCCTCGGCTCTGGAGGAAGGTCATCTCCAGATCATCTCTGAAGGCTGGGATAGAGTCAGCGGTATTATAAAGAAGCTGCGAGAGAAAAGCTATTTTGAACAAACCTAGCTAGGGGATAGTTGATTCCAGGTTGAATTCACATTCCCCTGGTTATTTTCAATGTTTCAATGAGAAGATGTTTCCCATAAGCGAGACGCCCTACGATGCGGGATTTTACCACGGGAGAACAAGTCTTTAAAACATACTATAATGGAGGAGCCCGGACCAAAATGTAGCTGCCCTATTTTCAGAAAGAGAGGGTTTTCGGTTTAGCATGTTAGATAGGGAGAACTTAGGACCAGAATGGCCACTTCCGTACCGCGTAGTTAGTTACCTCCAGCCCGTATTATTAGTCAGCAATCACCTTGGCATGCTTATGTAAGACTTTGCAGGATCCATCCAACTCAAGTACGTACAACAACTGAAGTACAACAAGGAATTTGCTAAAATTGCAATAGTACTACTTTCTTCCGTGACCGCAGTGTGCTTATAGGGGCCAATATATACATATACAAAACTAGATTTGCAACTGCATGAGACGATTGATTGTATAACTACTTTGATAAAAATTCACTATACGTAACGCCATTTTCCATTGCTCAGACGCCAGACCCATGGGAAACTACCTAGGCAGAAATTTGGAGATTGCAATGTTCAAAAAACAGATCCATAATACATCATAGAAAGCTGCGAATGACTATTCGTCATCGCTCATGCGAGTGTCCTCATCGGCTGGCTTTTCTGTCTCCCCGTTCTCCAACGATTGCTCCTCCTCCTGGGCAACGGGCTCGGGTGGCATATTGCTTGCAAACTTTGGATCGACGCGCAGACGGGTCAAGGCACGCTTGTAGATTTCAGCCTCGTTGGGATCACGCATAACTACTTGCATCTGGTCAATCCGTTCCTCGGTCTCTTCCTGTTGGGTGGAAGTGGGAGCGAGACCGGCCTGAGCAATCGTGCGGGCACGCTCCGGCTTGAGACGGGCCTTGCCTGAGATTGGATAGTAGTAAGCGGCCAGTTGTCTGGTGTCTCCATCCTTGGGCTTGAAGAGCGTCAATGCAATGTCCTTTTGGTCGGTGTTGAAGACCTGAGCACTGGTGGCGTAAGTGCGAATGCGATCATAACGGTGGAATTTGGTGCCCTCGGCGCTCTCATTGGTGTATAGGTCTTCGCTGTCTCGGTTCGGGTTGGACAGGTTCATGCTTGCGTCAATGTTCTTAACAGACTGTGGCTTCTCTGGAAGGAAGAGTTGGTAGTCATAAGGAACTGGGCCTGGGTGGGCGTAAAGAACAGGGTTCGTGAGGTGAAGATTCAGCTTGGATTCATGCTCCTGGCAAATACGCTGCTCGGGCGCGACTGGTGTCAGAATACCAACATCCATACGTTTATCCCGCTTGCCTCCGACGGCTGTTAAAGGCGCCTTATCAAACTTGAATTGAAGGTAACCACCAGGGTCTGGGAACCCTTCCAGATCAGGCATCACAGGGAAGAACCCGACTGGCTTCAGCTTCGGGTTGTCAGGGTGGACGGGATTAGCCCAGGCATCAAGTTCTGCCTTTGTGGGGGGAAGACCACGGATGTGGCTATCAGTGTCCTCTCCGACGTGCTTGCTCTTGGGGTAGGCGATATCGAATCCTTTTTGAATGAACTTCTTAACATGTTTCGGGTCATCCACAGGAGGCTTTCCTTTCTTCGCAATGCGCGGTTGTGTTTTAATAGGTGCAGGGCGAGATCCATCTCCGCCACTGCGGTCGACACCGATGTGTTGCGTACGGCGGAGGAAACTGACATTGGTATTCCTAGGGGCAGGGTTTCGGAGTTGCTCAATAGTCATGAGAAGGGGAAGGTCAGCGGGATCCATGGGCTGAGGGTTCTCTGGTGCCATAATAGCTGGTGGATATGTTAGTTGCAGCAACGCAATGATAGGGGATTCTGCATTGACATACCACTCTCGTCGCCCAAATGTAACCCCGGAATACCGACTAGGTCAATTGGCATTCCACCTTCGGCATCGACTTCAATGTTAGGCTCCTCACGGCGTGCCAGGTTTGAGGCAAACCCGGGGGTGAGGAAGCGACTCAAGCCCTCGTGTGGGATGTCAAGGAACTTGGGGGGCATGTCCGGGGGAGGGAGATCATTGCGATAGCGGAGGGACGCAATGTACTCCTGGTGAAAGCCCCCTGAGGACTGACCCTCCTTGGATTTGGAAGACATACTGTCGTCTTATTTGGTCACGCGATTGGCTGGGCGATTTTGCGCATTAGCAACTCGGCGTACCGCGTGGACTAGGTGGGACGGAAGCTTACCGTAATGGACTGGAATGGACTTGAATAGACTGGGATGAACTAGGATGTTGTCGCCTTGATTTTGGCGAGCGAAAATGGTAGTGCAACTCTATAGTGGCCAGTTAGTATAAGAGCTCGATTCAAAATGGATGTGAGGGAATTGGTCGCAAACCTACCGTGAGGAAAGTCAAGGGCTTGTAGAAAGGCAAGGACGGCGGTAGGAAGCAAAATTGGCAATATATCAGAATCCAGTGGTTCGGCTCACCAGTAGAAGGGGTTATCCAAACTGGCCACAAATGGAACTGGAGGAATCGGCAAAAGCCATACAGAGCAACCCCGGAGCTGAGCCTGAGAACCATTATTCTGCCCGGATTCACCGTCTGTTTATTGCGTTGTGGGAATATACGCGTGGAAATACAGAAAGTATCACGTGAAAGGAAATAAAGTATGGAGATGAAAGTGTTAGAAGCAGATAAGTGCGTGCATTTACCCAACCTCAGGACAACAGCTCACAACTACACAGCTGTTTCTTTTAGGTCAACTAATTATCGACTGCGAGATTCAAAGTACTCCATTGTATTAGAAAAAATATAGAAATTCCTTTTGAAAGTGACCACAAAACATGCAACTCCCACGCCGAATTCTCATAATACCATAAATGAATATCCCGAAGTGCTCAGTAGGCCCACATGCACTTGTACGCCATCAGCCGGGGACCAAGTCGATCATACTCCAACCTTCCGATCCAACTGTCGTTTGTACCGCTTAGTTTGCCGAAAATACTGGCTCCCTTCCATACAACAACCTGGGGATCGAGATCTCTGGGCGGTGTCCCGATCATGATCTCCTTTGAGAAGCCAGGGCGGAGAGCCTGTAGTCGCTCTTCCAAGAAGAGATGGAACCCGCTAGTCAAGCTGCCTCCACCGACGACCATGATACCGCCGATGAAATCCCGCATCTTTTTCTCGTCTGAGCGAGCCGCGTGGGCAATGGAGGTCAGGATAGCGTTGTCCAGACCGAAGACAGGCATGATATCATCTCGATCTTCCACGGCAGGAGGGCGGGGAGCTTGGGCTACAGCGGCTGTGGCAGCGGGCGTGCTTGTCCCTCCTGCTTGAGGGGTCCCTATATTTTCCGGTCCTGGAGAACCAGCGACAGAAGATCGAGGTGTGCCCTCGAGTTTGCTTAAAGCGTGGGGGCGGCTTGGTGTGGCCTGAACATCCGGCACCGCCAAGTGAGACTCGCCATTTGTCTTGCCGCGGGGAAGGGGAGGGGCCATGGCGGTCAAAATCTCCGACTGGGCTGCAGAAGTAGGATCATTAGGTGATCCATCATAAATGTCAACAGAACGATCGATCAAGGTCCGTCTCCCGGTAATTTTGTCAGAGTTATCAAAAATAGCAGGCTCAAATACACCCATTGGGGCAAGAAGAACCTCGTCAAAAGCCTTGAAAGTGTACTTTCGCGTATCCTGGCCTGCCACACGAAGGTGGAAGTCAAAGACTTGTGGAGAAACGCTGGCTTCGTTCATGGTGCAGATCTTCTTTTTGAGCTCTTCGGCCAGAAGGAAGTCATGTCTACGCCGTAGGTTGATATCGGCATAGGGGAAATGATCGTACAGCATCATCTTGATGAACGTTTCGGTCACGTCTTGACCGCCATACTTAAGGTTCACTCGAGAGTTCTCGATGCACATGCCTTCTTCCACACAGCAGATCGAAGTCTTCTGCGCTCCGATATCGACGACACATCCCGAGGTGAAGCCTGCACCAAAGGTGGCTGCCAGACTTTCTTGGATGAAACACACCCGAGCGAACGCAAACTCTCGCATCAACATATCCAAGACTTGGGTGACATAAGACTTGTCGTAAAGATCCGGGATGACGAAAACACACGAATACTGGGTCCAATCCTTCTTGCTCGTCAAGCGCAGTTGATTCTTGATCGCATCCTCCACGATCAATGAGATATCCAGGAAGAGAGACCTCTTGCTTGTGTAGTCCTTCTCGTTGCACCAGCCATTCCGGATTGGCCAATACAGCTTGTAACGAGGTTTCGAAGAATCCGGAACCCGCAGAGCCGGCTTCCCGACAATATACTCTGGTGGGGGATTAGAGAGCTCAGTCCATTCAGCACGCATTGGATCATTGTGTTCAGAGATAATTTCTGGCACGGTTCTGCGGTTATAGTTGACAACCATCTCCTTGGAGTTTGGAAGCATTCTTCGCTTGTTCTGTCGCATGTGCACCTTTAAATCCGCAGACATCTGATTGAAATGAGACGACCACTATCAAAAAAATTAGTACAACGCCATCTCGACAAGTTGTTCTGGACATACTTCAGGTCCAAAGGCCTTTTCGGGCTCCATTTCAGAGCCATCGTCGTGTTTGAATCTCTTGGGCTTAGGTTCATCATGGTCTTCGGACTCGTTGGTCGCTGATTTCCTCGCAATCACCATTGGCAAGGTCTTCGGCAGTGCGTCGCTGGCAAGTCCAATACGGAGGTTCTGACTGCCCATGTGGATGACAATAACCTTGGAGCCAGCCATCTCGGCCGGGGTCTCCTCCGCATCCTCCATTTGGGCGTCGCCATCTGCCTCACCCTCGCCTTCCGCGGTCTCGGTCTCGGTCTTGGCCATTGCGAGGGCACGGTCGTGATCCTTCGCTTTCTTCGTCATCTTTGTCCTTGCTTCCTCGTTTTGTAGTCGGAACGCGAGATTTTGATCGTCTCGTTTCAGGTAGTCCCTACATAGCGCAATCAGTATTGACGTTGTCAACTAGAGCC